AATCAGGAAATCATATTTGATTATATAAAAGTTGATTAAAATATAAAACCAGTTTCTGGTCTACTTTCTTCCTTCAGTTTTTAATCAGGAAACTAAGACCAATATTATAGATAAGCTCTCCTGCACACCTTTGAGATATCTCCCCCAGCCTTTCCTTTGAAGGAAGAAAACCTGTACATTTCCCCAAAGCTGAATTACCTACTTCAGAGTGTGCAGCTGCAGGGATTGCAAACCCAGTAGTAATGAATGTGTTATTTTGCAGTCCTTTCTCCAATTTGGTTATAAGGGTCAGATTTTTAATTCCAACTGTGCTTTTTCATGTTAATGACTTTACCACCTAAAGACATAAGGACATTGGCCATTTAAAAAATACCCCTATTCAGAGTTGTTTTAGTGCATAAATGCATATTATGCACATTTAAATAATTGTGATTTTTTCCCCTCTGTCTTTTCCCCTTCTAGACATTATACTAAATTAAAGGCACAGCTGTTTCATGCCTTCCCTTTCCTTGATGGGTAAAGGTATTTTAGAATAGTTTTTGCAGGCATACCTGGGTTGGTTCTGCTGAATGTCAGTGTGGCAGGAGACATGAGCTGCTGTACAAAATACACTGTTTCTTAGTGTGGATCTCTGCTCCCAGCAGGATTTTGTTTTAGTCTGAGCCCCGCACTGAGGCTGTGGCAGTGATGCTTCAGGAGGAGACCTTTGGGAAGAATTTGGATCAGAGTATGTGCATGTCTGGTAGCTGAACAAAGTGAGACCAAAGCTACAGAAAAGTTTAGGCAGAGATTTTGAGTTTCCCACAGGCAAATGCAGCACAAGTTTGAGAGAGCCATCCATGAAGAAGAAAGATCTGCACCTCCTCATTCTTGTCTGACACTTCAAATTAAAGTCTGGGTGAAGACTTTATTCGGGCCTTCAGAAATCTGGAGCTTGAGTTCTTACGTTGATGACTGCAGTCTTGTTCTTAAACCCAGCTGCTATTCAAGCACATGCAGTGAGAGCACACAAAGAACAATCTGTGACACCTGAAATTACCAGGTTCAAAATTACCCTTACCAACAGAACAAAAGAAGACCAATTGTTTTGAGATCAAAGAGTAATAATGTTCTCTGACTGATGAAAAGTTCACTGCCTTGTGAGAAGTAAAACAACTCCAAAAGTATAACAAGTCCTTGCAAATGTACTTTTGAATTACAGTGCTTATATTCCACAAAGCTGATGCTGAGCAGTAGGAAAAACTATTTTGCATGGAACAAGGTAGAGTCATCTGCAGTGGAGTGCAAATGGGATCAAACTAGGAGAAGGAGAAATTAGGCTGTGTGTCAGGAAATCTGAACTAAAAGAGTTATTTGACTGGGGAAGAGCTTCCCAAGGGAAATAATAAAAGCCACATTATTTGGGACACCTAAAATTAGACTTCAGAAAGCACTAGAAAAAAAATGTACAACCTTGCTTTGGTAGGCAAGTGGACTAGAAAAAACAGGGTTTCAGGTTTTCTTCTCTTTTTTTGCAATAAATTCTACAATTGTTGGGCTCGATTCTGTTTTGTGATATTTAAGTCAAGGTAAGATTTACATTGCTTCTTGCCTTAAGAAACTGAGGTTAAACATACAGGCTTCTCCCCTCCACCTATTTCCAGCCTTTTGAACTGTATCTTTTTATTTCTGTCCCTCAGGGATACTTCAGACCCCTCTCTTCCAATTATAGGTATGCATATTTAGAGGAGTGGAGAAAGGGCACGTGTGCCTTAAGGATTCTTTGTAGCATTTCCCTCTTGCCTGGCTCTTACCAGACACTGGAACTGATCAATATGATCCTCCTTTTTTTGGTTTTAATTCAGAATTTATTTTGATTGTTATGGGAAAAGCCATAAACTCGGATTTTTTTGAAGCTATTGTGTGAAATTACAGACCATGGGTTTTATATATATATATTTTTTATATATATATATTTATATATACATGTTTGTGTATGTATATATATATATAGAGAGAGAGAGAGAGAGGGGAGAGGCAAATGAAATATAGCCTTTAACCAAGGAACAGAGGCCTCCAGGTAATGTGTGTTGATATATAGAAAGTGTTGCAGCCTTCTCCATAATTTTCTTTCAATACAATCCATGTGATATTGCTGCAGTAATACAAAAGAGGTTATCATAGCCAATCCTACATATTAAGAAGTGTAGATTGTGCAGTTATGACTAAATGTTACGAGCCAAATGTTTTTTATTGTAAGTCAGCTTGAGGATTCCTGTCTTTATTAGCATACAAAGTCTACTTGTGAGATGGCAGTGCTCCTTTCAAAGCACACTTGAACAAATAGAGGCCCTATGTGAAAAATGGTTTTTCATTGTGTAGGCATTACCCTGTAATAGTTCTGGTATAAAAACCATGAGTTTTAATGTGTACACAAAAGTATGCCAAAGTCAGGACATCCAGCCTTTGAATTTGTGGTAAAAGACTTAAAGAAGGCATGTCAGCAGGATTTTCTGAAAGGTGGTTCATTTGTAGAGCGTTTGAAACAACATGGTAGGAAAGCTATATGGTGTCTCCAGTATTTCATTCAAGGAGTGTGTGTTATAGCCCCACAGAATGCATTTTGCCCTGATGCCACTGGACAAGAGTATATGGGAATGGGATACTTGGTGAATCCTTGCTCTGCACTGAATTTTGGGTTGTAGATGATCATACAGTTTCTAGTCCTTGAATTTAGGCATCATTTGGAAGAATGAGTGCTGGGGCAGGGACTGGTGGAGAGGCAGCTAGAAAAGTCATCTGATGGCATTTCAGATTGTGACTTTTAAATGGCAGAAGCTGATTCCCATTTCCTTTCTCCCACTGCTGCTTGCCTCCAATGTACTCTACCTCCTGCTGCCATTCATGTGATCTGCCACAGAAGCGTGGGTTGTATTTTTTTTTTCCTTATTTGACTAAGAGCATATTTCCCATTCTAAATCCTTAATGAAGACAAAAGGCCTGTATTGCAGGGTAGGAAGATACTAACCCGAAACATATTATTAGCTGGGAAGACTCATTCTCCTTATGTCCGTGTTTTTGAATGGCTTAATTGAGGAAAAGAGATATCTTCTGATTATGGGTTTTTGAATAGGGCAACAATGAGGGTGGAATGGTGGAGATGCTATGATGCCAGCTTTCTTGGAAAGCTTCATTAAGAGATTATTAAAGTGATTGTAACTGATTCTGTTACAGATCAGGGTGCTTTGATCAGCCAGCCCTTTGCATAGCAATCTCACAAGGGAGAAAGTGAGTGTTTCAGAGGCTCTGCATGTTTAATTTTTGACTAATCTCTCATTAAGTATTTTACAAGATAGAAAAGGAGAAAAATACTCAGACATAATTGGGATATTGTTCATGTACACTAGGTAGGAAGTGAACAAGTCTCCATCTATGTTTTAATTTCACTGCCTTTCCCCTCTGTAGCAAAACAGCCAGATATTCCACTCAAGACTGTAACTTGCCTCATTTCTATGTTATCTTCTCCCCTGAACTTTTCCAGATTTAACTGTCATGCCATCACGCTACACAGGTGATTCTGGAAAAGCACAGAGTGCCTATTTTTAAAAATGAAGGGAGAAGGAAGGGGAACAGGTTCTGGGAATTGGGGTCTTTTTAACTTAATATCAATTTTTAGTAAAACATTGAAATGTGAAAAATGTTTATAAGACATTTCAGGAATCAGGGAAACAAATTATGACCTAGAGAGATGTATAAAGAGTAAATGTGAGAAATCAATGTAATTTCTTGTTAATATAAAGCCTTGCAGAAAAAAAGAGATAAAGCATATGATATATTTTGTGTTATTTTAGAGCTTTTGACACTGTTTCATATGGCATTGTGAAGAGTCTCAGAAAATAATCGTGACATGATGGATGTAGAACAAGACATAAAACTAGATGTATTTGGATCATTTATCCAATTGTCACTATCAAAAGAAGATTTCAAGCATGGCTTGCATAGGGTTCTCTTTGGCACTGCCTAGTACTTTCATTTGCAACTTTACTAATGAAATACAGGAGGTTTTTTTTGACTTTAATGATGACTGAGTCATGCTGAGGGCATGGTTAGGTATGAAAATCAATGAGTCATTCTACAAAAGATTTTTTTTAAAAGAAAAGCATATAGCTTTTATTAGAAGATATGTGCCTTTTTGTCAGTGTATTACTAAAGAATTGTGGAAACTAACATTTTTAAATGGCAGGAAAACCACTTGACTTTAACACTTGAGATGTGTGATCCTTGATGTGATATCATTTGGTAATAGAAGCATTAATTTGTAGAATTATTTCTTTATTTATTATTAAATCATGAGGGCATTTTTCCCTCTTTTTTTTTTTTTTTTTTAAACATTGGGTAAGTTCACTGAACCTTAAAAAGTCCTTTACTCTCTCCTTAGAGCAGCAAACCTCTGGCTTAAAGTCAACTGAGTTTTTGTCCCAGCAGGAGCATCTACATGTGGTCGACTGTGATTTGTTCTCTGCAGAATTGCATTTCAGGTCTGTGGGCTAGGTTAAGGCAAGATGTAATAGTTGGACAGGCTAGCATCTATGCATTTGCTACTCATGGCTCTGCTCCAGATCCATGAGCTTGCTCTTTAGATGTATGTTGTCATCATAACTATAATGAGGCTGTTCGTACTGTACTTTTGGAAGCGGTGCAGTATAAAAGTCTTCAGTCTGCTGAGAGCTAGATATTTTGGCTGATCTTCAGCTTACAGCATATAAACACATTCCTCTCTGCTTTTTTCATTTTATTCTTCCACTTTCCCTTTTCCTCCCTTCCTTCTCCTCAAGGACACAGACTTTGGCTATATTTTTCACAACTGCGTGAATCAAGAAATCTGAGCAGATGCCTGTGCCACCACCGCCGCCACCACCTCCTCCTCCACCACCTCCACCACCTTCTGGAGGGCCTCCTCCACCACCACCTTCTGGAGGGCCCCCTCCACCACCACCACCACCACTGGTAAGACTGACTTTTCATTTCTGTGAGCAAAAGCTTAGCTGGAGTAGCCAGCTCAGAGCCCACAGGACTTTGGCATGGATATTGATAGCAAATATCTGGGGCAGATGTTTGTTTTGCTGGCACTGGTTCTGTTCATTACAGCAGTGGTTTTCAAAGTGGGGTGTGTGAGATGATCCATTGGTGTGTGGGATGAAAATATTGCAACTTCAGTCATACATGTGTATACTTTATAAAGAAATAAACCTATCTATTTTGGGGTGCATGTGCAAAAATTTTGTTACTGCTAGGAGTGCATGATCAAAAGGTTTTGAGATGATTAGAGTGCATATGGTGAAAATTTAGCATTTGTGAATACTTTTCCAGCCAAAGGGAATTAATTTTTGTATTGGTAATGTACAGATGGTAAGTATTAATTTCTTCATCCTTTTTCTTACAGCTCCTATTAAGACTCACAGTGTTCAGCTGTACATTTTGCCCTTTCTAGCACACACTGTCTTCCTGGGGATACAGCACAATATTCTTTTGTACATGTGCAGGAACAATTACAGCTTGTAACAGATCATTACTGTGTGTGTCATGAAGCAGAACATGTGCCTTGCCAGCGTGTTTGCAATAAGAGGAGGATGCTCTGGGTGAACTTTCAGGGTATTATATTTTCATACCTTCACAATCAATTATTGTACCTATGGTAAAACCTGCTTAAGTAATTCCTTGAATTCTGTGATCAGTTGGTCATAATCTATTTCTGCATTTAAATTCTTAGACTTTTTTTGAAAGAGTGGAACCTGGTACTGTTGTGTTCAAGTCATAAAATCTCTCCTGACTTTTTTTTCATATATTTTTCTATCACTGCTGTGGTTATTTGCAGAGTATGTTAGTCTGTGTAGCAAAAAAAGTACATGGTACTTAAAAATGTACTTCAAAAGTACTTCAAGTTTATTTTTTTTAAGAACTACATTTCGCCCTTGCATTCCCTGGCATCTTTGCCTGTTTTGTTCCCAGGAAGGTTGGTTGATTTTGTTTGTTATTGTTCATAATGCTCTTATTTTATCTTTTTTTTTCCAGAAGGAGGTTTCTTTGCAAGTTTCTTTCTGCTACTTTACAGGCTGAACAATTTTGTAAAACTCCCCATGAGTTGTGGAGATGAAGAGGAGGAGGATAAAGACAGCAAATCAAATAGGCAGTGTTTGATTCTTTTCAGCATTCAGATTCAACTTTGGCACCAGGAGCAGTGTTTCCAATTAGCAATTCTTCTGGGCTGGTATACAACCTATACTTAGATGCTGAAATAAGTGGGCAGCATATTGTGAGCAGCTTAATGCTCACAACTGCAATTAAAGTCAACAGAAGCCACAAATGTTCTTATCCTAATAAATTTAGATCAGTAAAGTACCTAGAAACACTTTTAGACTCCTCTAACATACACCAATTGTAAATGACTTGAGAAAGCTAAAAGGACCCCTAAGGATCATTATGAACAAGTTTAGGATTTTTTTTGTTTCCCCTTCCCTTTTCTGACTACTAAATCCACTACTGTGATAGGGTTTTGATAGAAGAAGGCTTATTTTCATGTTGTAGTTGGGTCATTCTGTTTCAAATGGGGTGATCTCTGTATAAGATAAGCAGAATTTAGAGTCAGCTCAATCTTGGTGACATGATACATACTAGATGTGTTTCTAGTTATAATCTGATTTCAAAGCTTTGCTTTTAATAAGTCTTGATACTAAAAACAGTATCAACAGAAATAATATAAAATCAACAGAAATAATTAATAAAATAATGTGGCAGGACATTGTTTTTTCTGCAACAGCAAAATTACTTTTCCCTGTCAAAACTGAATGAGAGGCAGGATAAGGAATCTGCCTGGTGAATTCAGCAGAAACACAGAGTAAGAGACAGCTCTCCAGCTGGTGCCAAGTTACAGAGTAAAACGTTATAGTTGGGGAGTCTGCAGAAACTTGCTACAGACCCTATTTTCTTTTACTGGAAAGCTCTTTTCTAGAAATTGGCATTTGTCTTTTACAGTTGCTAATCTGCCTAGCTGTTGTTACAGCTGCTAGATCTACAGTTAGGGGATGGAAGAAGGAAAAAATTTAACAGGTGTATAGCTTTAAGGAAAACCTTCAAAGAAAATAAGTTATTATTTGGCCAACAGCTGGAAAGGTTCCAAAGTAAACAGCACAGTGATTTTTATTACACTAGTATGATTAAATCAGAGTAAGATTTGTATGGTAGCAATTAAAAATTAGATTTTAATTTTACTATTAATATGTGGGTGAGCCACTAGTTTAATTCAAGTGATTTATATTAAAAGAAAAATGTCTGTGTGTAGGTGGGGGGTTTAGGGTTTTCATGTAGTTTTTCATGATTATATTGCAGGAGTACCATGGACTTGTCTTGCTTTTCTAGTTATGGATGAGAACCATACTTTCCTCTTACTTTCACTATCAAGAGATTTTTATTAGAAGTACTCATCACATTTTCTTTTTCTCTGCACAGTTGCTTTGTGAATATTGTGAGCCTTGATCCCAAATAATTTTGCAGTCCTTACTTCATGGAAATTCTAATCAATGTTGGCACATAACTTTTTTGTCCTGTTAACTCCTTCTTAAGGCAGAGTAAAGTTCCTGCCTAGTCTTTTTCTGGCCTTGTTCCTATTTTTTCTCAAGACTTTTGGACTTGCTGATATTCTGTAAGTACTTATACTGAATTTTTTTCACAAAAGTTGTTACAAGACAATAAACAGTGATTTGGAGATGGTATTTAAGACATGCTAGGAGCCACTTGTGCCCAACAGCCAAAAAGCTACTGGCTGTTAGACCAAACTTAAAAGGAAACAAATTCCTGGATTTCTCAGGAGGGAATGGTGGGATGTTTGCTGTGGCAGATGTAGGTGGCTGAGTCAAAATGTAAATATAGCTAACTAGATTCATTAACTAGGTCTTCAAATGCCTACCTTCTAGGGGTGATAGAGATGAGAGGGGTGAGTAGGCAGAAAAAACTATGCCCGGTTGTATTTTCTGGTGCTGGCTTACAGAATTAAATTCTCTTCATGTTCCCTTTTTCTCTACACCTTAACAAAATACACTTGGATAGGAGGCTTTTTCTAAAGCTCTTTTAATTAATGTCATGTAAGGTGGGTTTTTTTAATTGAGTTTTTGTTGGTGGTCTTGGGAAGAGGGTGGTAGGTTTGGCATTTTTTAAAGCTTTCTGCTTATGAAAACTTTATTATATTCTCACTCTATTTCTTTTATCACTCCTGCCTTTAAGCTTGGCATATGAGGCAACCAGGTTAGTTTCGGTTTGTCACATTTTCTGGAGTAGGTGTCACCACTGAGATGGATTAAAATTTTTCTCTACTTAATTTTCCAAGAAAAGGATCAAAAGAGAATTTTGCTTTGATAAACCCTGTTCACTTATTACATGTAGTGAAGGCTGCTTACTGCTGTGTGGCCTCTGTATATATGAATTTGTAATGTTAAGATCAGTCATCACCTATTAAAATGTTAATAATGGAGGAAGTGTGGATGCGTGGCAGCCCCGCTGGGTTGTGCCTTACTCAGAGATGTTTGTTTAATGATTCATATGTTTGTGGAGTTTAAGAAAATACTTCACTTCTCTTTAGAATTGTTATGATTAAAGTCTTATCATAGAAGTTAACCCCAAAAATCACAATAGATCAGGTGATTAAAGCTCATAAAGTAGCACCAGGCATTTATTTGCTGCCTTGTGGAACACTAGAAACAAGGATACCAGAAGGAGAAAGTAATATGCTTATTTTGATGATAGAAATATGAAATTTGAAGCAATGATGAATGCTAGACTAATGTAGATTAATCTTAATAATTACCTCATTCTTATTTAATTAATGTTTTTAAAAAATTAAAACCAGAATTACTGTTGTAGATAACCCTGTCAGTGTTTACCAAGTTTGTTATTCTCTTCTTATTTTCTACTCTGTAATAAAAAACGCAGAAAAGCAATTTCTCATGATATAATGCTGTGGTAAAAGCATAATTTACACAGAAGAAGGATTTCCAAGGTTCAGAAAAACATCACCTGATAGTTTTCCTTGGGGGAATGTTTTTTGACCCTGCTTCATGCAGTTGTTAGATTGAAAACCTTGATGAGCTGTTTCCTTCAGCCTTCATAAGAAATTCAGAGAGCTACAGTGTTCATCTGAAGTTGTGTGGGAGTTGGTTTTGCTCCTACGACATTTAGCACTCCTGTTCTTTGGAAAGAGAACAAACAGCATATGTAAAACATCTTGGCTGAAGATAATGATGATCTTTGGTATTTTGATTTGGTCTTACCAAATATAGTATGAGCGAATGTGCACATATGAGAACTCAGATGCATAAAATTTTGGTCATGATAGTTAATTATTTACTGTAAAATTAAAGTCATCTCTTAAGTTTTTATTCAGACCCCTAGACATGCAAGTGTAATACTGAAAGAAAGCCTTGTTCATGGTGCCAATAGTGAAATAGTTAGGAATGTGTTTATTAAAATTTTATCTGAGCTGTAAGTTCATATTTAGTACTTTGTCATGGAGCCTAGGGAGATACTAAAGCACAATATTTATTGCTGATAGATAAAACTCACCAGAGTGAGAGAAAGTACAGGCTTGGTAATCTTGTTGGTGATTAACTCATCTACAGACTGTGCTAAGGGCTGGACAAAGCATAGCTGAAATTTTTGAGTGCTTTGTTCCAGACAAAATAAAGGACACTGATTTATACTATTTTAATAATATATCATATCTCACACCACTCTGTTTTCATAAAGAAGTGAGAGTCAATCATGCAGAAAAAAAAAATGCTGTGTCTTTGTGTGGTTTATTTGACTTAATTTTCAGCTGTTGGAAAATTGGGATTGCATGGCTGTGGTGTCTCAAAGTGTTGCTGCTGTAGCCTTCTACTCTTGTAGTCAAGAAATAGAGAAAGGATAAGTGGGAGCTGTGAAATGTGGGGAAGATGAAAAGAAAACATAAATACTAGGCTGGCATTGTTCTGTTTCATCTGGACAGGTACAGGAGCATGGATTGCATATTGCTCCTAGGTGCTAATCTTGAATGCTTCACTTGAGAACTGTTATGTCGCCATTTTAAATGTATTTAGATAATGAGTTCTGTTTTGTAGGTTTCTTCATAATGTCATGTGTTCTACATGTGTGAATGGAATGCATTTGAAGAGCATTCTTCCTCTTTGTTTTTCATCTATATAATATACAACTATGGAAATTGCAGAGTAGATTTACCAGCTGTAAATGATTGAGCCCTGGTAGCAGAAGCAGCCTAGCTGCAGGCAACTAATAGGTTAATTTACCATTCTAATCACAAAGTAATAATGCCCTTAAAAGTCAGTACCCCATCTCTAGTGTATGCAGTGGCTACATATTAAATTCCATCTGTCAATTAATATTATACTTTTAGCCTTTTAATTAAAAGAGAACTTCAAATTATAGCAACGCTTGAGTAGGACTTCTCTGAATGGCTGGAAGGTGAGAGTGCCAGAAATGCTAGTTTCTTATTATTCTCTCTTGGGTTAACCATAATTTTGTGTGGATGCTAAAAGGCATTTCAGAATGATCAGTAGCTTCTGCACAGGTAAGTGGGTATGAGAAATAGACTAGCCTAGTATTCTTAAAAAGAGATTAAATTGTGATGTGTATAGGTTGTTACCTGCTGAAATTTTTGTTGCCACTACTCATGGTATCCCTTGTAAATCTGGGGTCTCTGCTATGGTAGACAGAGAGAATAAACAGTGCTATGCTAGTGTCACCAGCTCCCATGGCAATGTTTTCAGCCTTGTACTGTTTGACGCTTTCATTGCAATGCCAGGCCCTCAGATTTTCTTGTTTGTGTAAGAGTTTTCCCTTTCTTTCCATTGATGCAAAGGCTATCATGGGACTTTGAATCCCAAAATTTTAGAAATCAAAAAATGAAGTCCAAAATTAGCTTTTGATGTCAGTCCCAGGGTATTTTTGGTATTTGACTTGTGATCTTTCTGGACTGCTGAGAAACACTTTTAGAGTAGTTTAAATTTTATACTGCCTTCATTTTGGTGACTTCTGTTACTGCATATTTTCTTTTAGTACAAGAATAGGCAGAATTTGCATTTAAAATGTGGGTGTCAGAAAGTTAAATACCTACAGAAAAGCTCAGCAGGTACAAATGATCCTACTTACTCTGTGGCATTTTTTGTATTCAGGTACAGAAAGCTAGCAACCCACACTGGAAAACCTTAAGTACACCCTAGTGAATAACCCCCCAGCTCTATTTGAGGCTGAAGCAATTGAACCCTGTAGTATACAAGATTTTATATTATCTGATACAGCAGTGCTAGAATAAGGTGCAGAGGGTTTATTGGGTGCAGTGGCATTGATTCCTGGTGGTGTTTGAAATGAGCACTGGGAAGATAGATTTATAAGAAAGTTGCTCCTGCTATGCTGGCTTTTGTGTTTTGCTCCCTGCCATTGTGTGCAGTGGTAGCTTCAAGCAGGTGCAGAGCAGGCACCAGGCTCTGCTAACACTGAAAGACTTCGCTATTTGGGACTAAAGCCAGGACTAGGTGGTGGCTATAGTGCCAGGAAGGGATCTGTAACAACTTTTGCACTACTTCCCTAGCTGGGAGCTGAGAAACAGGGTTGGTGTGGACACAGCCTACCAAAGTACACACATTGCTCGATGACCTTTTCAACCTGGCAGGCTCAGACTGCAGAACTTTGTGTGATGGAGACTGAGATCATGGTTAATCACTGCTGAGCTGGGTGTAGGTGGAATTGTCAAGTGCTGGTCCTGTCATTATGTTGAAACAATGATTTCATTAGCTGTCAGAAAGCTGTTTGGCAAGTCCCCTCATGTGGGTTCCCTCAGAAAAGTTGGCTGGAGAGTGACCCCTCACATGGGAAGCATTTGAAGCTCAGCTTGCTAGAAGGCTGAGAGAGTGCCACGTTTGCCCAGGCAGATCAGGTGCCAAGAATTAATTAGTTTTGTCCTGTGATACAGCAGAAACACAGAAGTGGCTCTGATCTTGCAAATGGCTGTGCAGGTGGAGTCTTGCACTGTGGTGAGGTCTCCCATAATTAAAAAGCTTTAAATCAGAGGTCAGAGCTCTTTTGTGAACTGAGGTACCAAAAACCTCCAAAACTGCCAGGTACCAGATTTCCCAAGCTTGTTTAGAAACAAGCAGTTTAAAATATTAAAATAAAAGAACACATCTACTTTGTTGTTGAGACTTGTTGGATTTTTCCTTAAACTGGAAGGGGGGATTATTTTGATTTTTTCATTTTGTATTTGACAGTGCATGAGTGAAACCACACCTGATGCATATGTAATGAAAATACAAGAAGGATGACAGTGTTTTTCTCTATGGTACTCCTGTTTGTGATGTGCTGGAAACTGGGTTTATTATTTTAATAAGCTCTTTCTTTTTGTTTCTACTATTTTTCTTGGCATATTCCTGGTGGAGACTTTAGCTGCTGGTTTGAGAATTCTTTCTAAAAGCAATGCTCTTGCCTGCTGGGCAAACTGTTTCTGCTGCAAATGTAAAACCATTAATTCCTGGCATAATTCTAAACTAGTAATAGTGGATTGACCTTGGAATCAAGATCCAAATTCCTCTGGGGGTTCAGATTTCATGCTGAGCTACAAATTGAGAGATGGCTTTTATAATCCTGTGCTATGTCAAGGAAGACATGCTGGTCAGCTTACACTGAGATTTCTGGTCAACTTCCATGTTTTACTTTCTTCCAAAACAACCTCATTCTTTTAATAAAAAGTTATGACATTGTAGTTTGTTAGACTGTCCTGGCATCTTACTGGCAATATTACTTTTTTTCTGTCAGTTCTGCTTTTGAAAAGGATGCAGTCTTTGAGGAGCTGAATTCATTTAAATACCTTAGTCCTGATGGTTACAGAAATCTCCTTATGGAACACTTGTGGTCAGCAGCTTGTGGTTAAGTGGAAGGAAGCTACAGAGTAGGTTGCTTGCAACCAGGTCTCCCCTGTTCTTGGTCCACTCTTTTTTATCATCAATGGTCCCAGAAGGGTATTTTAACAGACTCATGCCCTTTAAGGCCCCTTACTCAATGTCTGTGCTATCCCAGACTGCTGTGAACATCAACCAAATGCCTGGCTTTCCTTCAAAGGAGTAGGAGATTTATGGCTGGATGGAGACCCAGTCATCATCTCTTCCTTCATGCTCCCCTGCTTGGAAAGTCTTGTGGTGCCATATGGGTAGTAAGAACACTCATCATCCTTCCTCAGATGGTTTACCAACCACAAACAAGCTGTGTTTTTCTCTCATATGCTCAGCTATCTCTGACATGATGCACATACTGCATTAGGCAGCTAGCTTACCTTTTTTGTCCTCTTTCCTGAAAAATCTGTATTTGTTTACACCAGAATTTCGGTTATTATTAATATTTAAATAATATTTGGAGAATTTTGTTATATTTCCAGTGGTTTCTGCTCTTTCTTGATGCTTTATACATCCTTTATTTAAGGTTTAGATGTTTCAGTTGTCTCTCATTATTGACAAGCATTTTCTATGACCAGACCTGGCACTATCACATTACTGACTGCAATGCCTCCACTTGTGCCTCTTGCTTGTTTTGCCCTACTTGCTGTTTTAGATGCTGGTTTTAGTTTTCCATTGTCATATTTGTAAGCTTTTTCTCTCACATTTTTTAGTTTAAGTTGAGTCTATGAATCATGACAGAGAAGGCTAGGACTGGCTCAGGAACATATCCTCCCCCCCTCACCCCTCCACCCATCCCCCCATAAATATTTGTCTCTGTGATCAAATATCCTTTATCCTAGAGCTTTCTGCTTAGTCTTTATCTTGCTGCACTGTCTTTCCCTTCCTTAAAAGCAAAACCTGAGGTGTTTCATTCTGCGGTGGTGAAAATCACTCGCCTCAGCCTGGATCTGTGCAGGATTGGCTGAGGATGGCAGAATAAAATAAGAACACAAGGGATTTCCTCAATCTCTTTTCCCATTAAAATGTATGCTGCTTATGCCTTCTGCCAGTACCTGTGCTTAATCTCTGCATTGAATCTGGGAGATTTTGTCTTTGGGGAAAAAATTGGTAATGGGAGAGAAGAAGGTTAATTGCCACCAGATTCATAGAAATAATTTATACTATCAGCAAAAGAGAGAGCTCTCATGCTGCCCACAATAAAATTCTGACATGAAATGTATTAATCGGTCTTTAATGTTATCATTATATGTCTCACAAAATAATAAGGGAAAAGATAAATATATTTTGACTTTTTTTTTGTTTTAGTTTTTTAATCTAGTTCAGACAAATAATTTTCTTCACAGGTGTCTTCCCAGTGTTTCCTGTAAAATGTGACCAGGAGAAGGAATATACTATGGTGATACAATTCATTGCACATTAGAAGTGTAAATACTCAGTACTATTAAGTTCCCTGAGTAAAAGTATGCGGTGCCTTTGGATGGAATAATGCTTTATTTTATTTTACTTATGGCTTCTATTTAATTTAGAGTTTTAGTACTGGATCATCTTTTCACATCAGTTGATGGGTTTACTCTGAAAGAAAGGCCTGTGACTGCCTGGCTATTGGGCTGTCCAGAAGGCTAGAGGTACATTTTTCCTGCAGCTGTCCTGTTTATGTAGATCTGTATTACCCTGAAGTACTTTACATATGCATTCAAGAGCATATTTAAAATCAGAGTAAATACAAGCCATTTATGGTATAGTATGTATGAACTGTGACTGAACTACCTGTCCAGAGTCCAAAGGATTTTCCCTTTTCTGTGTGCAGGGGTACTCTTTAACTTCTGAAGATTATAATTAGTATCAATATAAACGTTTTCAAATAGCTGGTACCTTCTGCATTTACATCACTTTAGTAGCTGAGCACGTAGGTCTCTTAAATATTTTAAGTATCGTAGAAGCCCAGAGGGTAGGTCGATGCTCCCATCTGTCTTGCAGGATGTAAAGTGACATTCTGAAGGTGATGCAAATATCACAGAAGAGTGTACCCAGAAATGAAGCTCATTGCCATGCCTTTCAGTTCATTTCCCCTAGAAAAAGTCTCTGTTCTTAATTTGTCTGATACAACTCAATTTAGATTGTGATTACTTAGGCTCGAACCTGGAGTGGTCCGTGTATAGAAAGTGTAAAAATAGAGTTGTTCTTCTAAACTAAACAATCCACTTTCACAGAACTCCTAACAGGATGAAGCTGCTACAAACCACTGGCTGTGTCCCTCCATCACAGGGTACTGCACACCACCAAGTAGCTCTGCACAGGACCTGGTGACTTGTGCTTCACAAAAAACACTTCTGCCAGAGAGGATCCAGCCTTGATCTGAAGTATTATCAAGAGACTGATAATCTGCTGCTGTCTGTGGCGTGTCTATTTGCATCAAATGCCTGTCTCTGCTGCCTGAGCCCTCACCACCATTCCCAGTACAGGTTGTGCTGTGCAGGCAGACCACCCCTCAGACTTCAGGGCTGATAGTCAAAACAGAGGTGCCAAAATCTGAGCTGTTGTCTCCAGTGTTTTGAACACTGCTTTGGCTCTTTCTTTTGCACCTCCAGGTTTCCACAATGTAATTTTAAAAATCTGGAGACTAGAACTGAGCTTGTGATTCCATTTTTGCTCATACTTTTTTTTTTTTTTTTAAAGGATAAGAAATATTGGAGGAGTATACTGTCCCTCCTTGTCGTACTTGCTAATTCAGGCTTGCTGCTGGAGCCCCCTTCCAGGTCCAGGCCTGTGGGACTTGAAATGCAGGCTTTAGTTTCAGCGATATGACTATTATTTGTAATCCAGTCACTTTCAGTTTTACATTTGACGCTTTTATATTGTGCATTTTATTGTGCATTTTCTTTCTCTTTTCCCCCTTCCAGGTCAGCAGTGAGGAAACATGTTTTGGTTTGTTGTTCTTTTCAAATGGACTCAAGCTGCAGTGATTTAGATCTCCTATATTCACGGTGTCCTCATTCATATTTCCAATAGTCTAAGTTACCAGCTTCAAATTCTGAAATGTTTATTTCCAACATTGATGATTTACAGTCTGAAACATCACTTTAAAAAATATGATTTGAAGGAATTTTCCTATTTAATCAGGTATGTTGAAGACCTGACAGATAGCCTAAACATTAGTCCTATACTTTACTGCATATCATAGCTGAGTGTGTAATTTCAGACACTGAAGACAAAACATGGTGGAGGTGGGTGAGAGGAAAAGGAAGTAATTCTTATGTTCTGGCTATTTACTTGCATGGTTTGTTCCATTCTTCTAGTTTCTAAGTATGTACTGAACGTGACATTCATTGTGTCTAAAATAGTAGCAGAAATAGTAGCAGAATAACCTAGTGGTTGCTAAGGTAATGAGAACCCACTGTTCCCTTACCAATTCCTGTAAATAAAGTATGGAATTTAATTTCACTCTGTGTTACCTGAGGCAGCTCTGGCATCTGATAAAACAAACGATCTTCACATTCTTCTCCACTTCCCTTCTGATTTTCATTGAAATACTGAGCTGTTTCTCTTTTTGTAAATAAATGAAGCTGCCCTGCAGATGGTGGGGTAGAAAGTAGCCTAAGAATTACATCTTGTGTCTTGCACCTGTTTTCCCTCTGTGACTTTAAATGTATTTGTCTTCGTGCTGAAACACTACTATTGCACATGATCAGGGCTGAAGATTTAACAGCCATAAGAGTTCCTCTTTGTTTTCCTCTTGATGCAGAACTTGCATGTTTGTTATCTGTGCCTGTGCTATGGATTGCAAGCACAGCATGAGTGTGGATCCAAGATTTATTTCTTTATCAAAGAAAGGAAGGTTGTGTCAAAAAACAATATGGTAAATCCAGGAATTTGCAAATGCTGGACACCAGTAGATGGTGAGATACTTACCTGGTGAAATGATTCTTGGCAAGGATTATTACTGGCCTTGGGAGTGCAGGCAGCAAACGAAATCCAAAGGAGCTCTGACTGCCGTGCAACCAGGCAACACTACACCCCAGACCATCTTGACTTTGTAATGGAAAAAGAGAATCCATATCAAGCTACTTAGCAGCTAATCAATCACCCGAGTCCACCAGGCTGGGCACTGAAGATTGAATCTCTTACATACATGAAGAGGAAGAAGAAACAGCTGGGGCATGGGATGGAGTTATGCTTGGAATAAGAAAATCTGCTTTAAGAGAGAGGCAGCTTGTTATGCTGCATTATGGAATGGCAGAACTCTTCCTGCTCTTTTAAGCCACAAATTTTTGTCTTGCTTGTGTTACACTGATATCAAGTTATGGGTCACTTGCCACAAGTTGCCACAAGTGAGTTATTTTAGCCTAGTAGCTGTCTGGATATCAAGACTTTATATACAATAGTCTTTCTGCCCAGAGAAGTAGAGTGGGAGGTGAAGTGGACAGCTGGCATAATATATGGACACTTGAACCCGGAAATGAAAGACAGCTGCTGGATCTAATTTTAAACACAGCTCTTGATCAGATCCCTCTAGATCCTGCTTGTCCTGCTACAGCAAAGTCATTAGTGGGAGTAGAGAGACAAGAAGTTGAAGATACTGGTAAAGAGCTTTTGTGAGGAAGGGAATCACCTTTGTTCCAGTTATGGTATTTCCATTTTTCACAGTAAGTATTGTCAGCTTCCAGAGAAGGGGAGTGGAAATGGTTTGTGGCTGGTACAAGGTCTAACACCGCTGACAGAGGCTGCTCTTCTGGGGCCTTGTAATGGCCAGTGGGACTCCCCGCCCTGCAAGTACGAGAGCAGGCAGCGCTGTTTCAAACGAGGAAAATGTAACACAGTGGGGCTTTTCCTAACATTTTAAAATAACACGTGGTTACATATCGGCAGGTTGTAATTCCGAGTTTTTACATCAGGGCTCGGGAATGCGGCGGCGTTAGCGGCGGTCTGGAGCTCCATCTAGCGGGCCGTAGCAAATCCCGCTTGGCTGAGTTTTGGGTTTTTTGGCAAGCACGAAAATAACCAGGAATAATATCGTACTGATAGAATTCTTCACTTGGGATTAGCCAGTTAGACACGTTATTAGTTCAGCAGCTGGCTGAGTGTTTTCAAGTTTCTGTTTTGCTTTCAGAATGCCATTACCAAGCTGGGTTGGTTTTGGGGTTTTTTTCAAGTGTGACGGTATTGTTCAGCTTTATTACAACTATGATGCTAAAATTAAGGGCTATGGAAACATTTCTGGTACTCATTCTCTTTAGGGAATTAGCTAACCTCTGGGAATTTTGGAAGCAAACAGAACATTGCTTCTCTGATGAGAAGATTCTCCTCTATTAGATTGCTCTGTTAATCACAATAGGTTTAGGAATAACAGCTTTGCTGTTTATTATCTGTTTTTAAAAAGTGAAGCATCCAATTTTTTAAAAGATTTTTTTAAACATATATAAAAATAAACTTGAAGAAATAAGAATAAAGAATAAATTTTGTTTGTTTGTTTCATTAAAAAACTTTAAACTGCAATTTGACTTTATATTTAGCAAGCTTGGTTAGGATAGAAACGTTACTAAAATATAATTGTATTGTTCTAAAGGCATTCTACTTAAACTGGTGTTAATCTCCATTACAGAGAGACAATCTAAATAAGTTAATAATCACATTCAAATATAAGTGCAGCATGCATTTATCTATCTCTTTTCCTAAGAAAAGCGATAAACCAGATATTTATTATAATTTGACATATAAAATTTTGATGTGAAGCATTGTAAATATTATGATAAGAGCTGAAAGAGGAAGCTGGAGCTGGAGTTGTAGGACAGAGGCCATAAAGGGCCAAATGAAGTCACATTTCATTTAAGTATCCCTCCTAATTTGCTTTCAACAGCGTTAGCCCTACTAGTATTAGTTTTGTGTCATATTTAAATTTTCACCTTTCCTGCCTCCTGCACAACCAAATGTTCCTGTTGATTCGACTCAGAGGCTTGAGAGTAACAGCTGCCAGGGAGGGCTTATTTCAAATCTTCTATCCCATGTTTGCCTGTATATTCTAAATGTGCATTTTTGTCTGTATCTCCCATCTAAAGCTCTTACTGTCCACAGGCAAGCTCAGAGATACCAAAATTGCGAAAGGAAGACCAGAAAGCACGAAACGCACTCTTGGCTGATATCCAGCAGGGAACTCGCCTAAGGAAAGTGACCCAAATCAACGACCGCAGCGCACCACAGATTGAAAGTGAGCATGTGCTCCTCAGCAAGGAGCTTTGCTGAAGCCTCGGGTGTGGGTGGAGGTCAGATGGACAGTTTCACATTGAAGGGCAGGTTTGAAGGTCAGCAAAAGTCTGCATTATTGTATGGCTTTAGGATGCGGGGAGGGAACACTTTCTAAAAGTGCATCCTGCTCTGAGATCAATGACTCCAAATAGTTATCACCTTAACAGGCATTCCTTGCTCCAAAATAAATCCTTGAGAGCATTTCAATAAAATAATTAGGTTTGCTCTAGCAGAAGAACTGTTCTTTAGTAGATTAAAAGACAAAAAAAATTGTTGAAAAATTCTGGAGACATAAATTCAGTATTAGGCCTAACATAGCTACTTCTTGGTGTCACGATTTGCATGAGGTTGAAGAGCACCAGAGGGTGCTGTGCTCCAAGGTACAGGTCAGAGAGGGATGGCAGTTCCTGTGTAACAGTACAGGGAAAAATTTGGTCTTGGCACTTTGCTGCCACCAAGCCTTAGGACTCTCATGGCAAAGAAGAAATTATTTTCTGATATACCCTGCATTTTTAATTCTTTTTAACAGAACCCAAAGGAGCTAACAGAGATGGAGGTAACCCAGCTGTTAATAAAGGTGGCTCTCAGCAGCCTCTGGGAGGTTTATTTGCTGGTGGCTTTCCTGTTCTCAGACCAGCAGGCCAGAGGGACATGACAGGTAATGGCTTCATCTGTATGAAAGCAGAGCTGGGTGGGCAGAAATTTGGGATGAAAAGTACTTTGAGATTAGCTTTACTAATTGATTTTTATTGGGTTTTTGTTGGTTTTTTTTTTCCTGAATGCTTAGTTCATTGTGTGACCATGGAGTGCTCAATAAATAATGTGATTGGAGCCACCTTTCTAGATCTCAGGTGCCTTATTCCTTAAAATGTAAATAAAATGCTATCTCCACACTTGGTAAGAAAGAGATTAAATATATCTCTTTAGCTGAGGTTTTTACATTATTTTAATGAAAAACTTTTAATTGTGTCTTGAATACAATGTTGAAATCTGAGTTTATCAGTTTCAGCACAAATGGCAAAGTCATATTCCTTCCCTCCACTAGTGTATATTTCTATGCTATTATAGTCTTGGGTATTACTTTAAAGATTAATATTTAAGATTTTTGCTCTCTGGATTTTATAAGAATATAGCTTTGATCCAGCAAGGCAATTTACTGATCTGAAAAATAAGGGTATTGATGCTTCACAATGACAGGAGGAAGGCACATGGGGAGCCCCACTGCTGCTTTCACCTCAAGAAGTGCCAGTATCAATTAGGGATGAATTTTATAGTCATAGTAATGACCTCTGGCTTTGTTGAGCAGCTGGTGCCTGCTCAGGCAGCACAGAGAAAAGTATGTTTTTTTAGGGAAAGACAGAATGCGGCTCTACCTGAAGGTTTTTTGCTCCCAAAAGGTAAGCCAAAGATGCACAGCACTGTATGTGGTGAGGCTTTTGACATAGCTCCAGTGGCAGTGACTACTTTGAGTTGCTCTTTAAACAACGGTCATGCCTATCAGACTATGTGAGTGTTGAATGAGATGTCTTTTTTTGACATCTTGCTTTGTGGTAAATTCTTGACATTTACTCAGGAAAAGACATTTTGTAAGTTCAAGAGTCTTCAGGCATTTTCTGTTAAAAAGGAAATATCAGAAGCTGTGCCTTCCAGAAAGCCTTTGAGGCATTACTTTTAAAAACTTGGCTTTTATCCATGGAATTGAGGTTTCTGTAACATTTGTGTGAATTTTTTGATCCTAAGCAAGTATTTAGCTTGAAGGATGCCAGTTGATGTGTGCCAAACTGCTTGCGTACTTTTCACCAGGACTCTCGATGCCCAGCAGGCTGTACCAGGCAAAACGAGGCTGGTGTGGAGGACCCCAAACTCTGCATAACAGAGTTCCTTCTCCTGAAACGGTTTCATTCTGCAGAAGCTGAGCAGCAGGGAGGGGAGCAGGGTCGTCATATAACTAAGCAGAGTCCCTGGTGCCCACTGGAATGCATCACCTCCTAAGTCCCATTACAGCGTGGGCAACTGGGGTGAATGAGTTTGATCCTTCCGGGTATCCACTAGGGAGGGGAAGGTGAAGAGCTCGCCTTTATCGCTGTTCGGTCCGAGGCATGGGAACACAATCCCGGTGTGTAACATGTGGTATCTGGTTTCCAACAGGGAGGCCCGCGGGGCAGCTCTCCGGAGGCCGCGCAGCATCCCCCAGACCCTGCGCCCCGCCGAGCAGCGGCGCTGCCAAGGCGAGCAGCAGCCCCTCGCCCCCGGCCGAGGGCCCGAGGGCAGCTGCGCCGCCGGAGCTTCCCGGCACCTCCCGAGCAGCAGCGGGAGCGAGCCCCGGGCGGCCCAGCCTGCCCGCACCGCCTCCCCCGCCTCCCGCTGCCGGCAAGCCTTCCCTCACCTTCCCTCCTCCTCCCCCCGTGCCCCCTCCGAACGACCGCCCTGCCAAGGCGGGGAGCCCCGGCGCTGCCGCCCCGGCCCCGCTCCCTCCCCCGCTCCCTCCCCCTCAGGCTGACAAACCCGCCAAGCCTCAAGCGGGAGCTTCGCACCCGCCCCCGCCGCCTCCTCCTCCTCCTCCTCCGCTGCCCCCCGTGCCCCCCTGCGGGCACCCGGCCAGGGCAGCCGAGGCCTCCGCGGCCTCCGCTCCGGCCGAAGGAAGGGACTGTCCCCTGCCCCCGCCTCCCCCGCCCCCGAACCGGCTCTCCTTTCCCCCCTCCCCGGCCTCCAGCGGTGCCGACGTGCCCCCTCCGCTGCCCCCCAAGTCTCCCCACTTGCTGTCGCAGTTCCATAAGCCAAGCAACATCCAGTCGCTGCCGCTGCCACCCACCCCCGGCCCCCCTCAGCCCGCAGCCGTGGGGGAGACCAGGAAGAAGAGACCCGGCCGAGGCGCAGGTGAGAGGCACCTCCGAAGGAAGGAGGGTTTTCCCTCCCTTCGGCTAGCGGGGAAAATCATAGCATGATTTGGGTTGGAACAGGACCTTGAAGATGACTTAGTTCTTCAAGGCCGCCTTCCAATCCAAACGATTCTATAGCACTGGTGGCTGGAGAGCGTGGAGGGGCAGGGATGAAAGCACACGTGGGAGGAATACCCATAGGTTGCCCGGCTCATGATGAACTCCCAAAACATCTGGCTTTTTGAGATGCCAGGCAATTCTTAGCACTGGGCACACACACCTTATCGTTTAAGCTGCCACTCTTGGAAGCGACATGCTGATCAGTGGAGACAGTCTTAGGACCACTGGGCTGCTTCTTGCTGTTGTGTTGGCATTGGTGTGCCTCCACCAGTGCAGTGGGTGCTACTGACAGGCTCAGGTGGGGGAGCAGACAGCACACCACAGTGTCTACCAGGTCAGCAGCTTCTCATGTGCCAGCCTGCCTAGGACACCCCCCTACAGCTGTGCCCATGCAGCAGCAATATGGGCAACAGCTGGGAAACGCTAGAGAACATAATGAAACAGAGATGGGGCAGCTACCAGCTATAGGTGAGCAACAGCAAATCTGGCTGCAGCCCTCTGCTGTTCAACAAAGAGGAGCAGCCAGTGCCTCCTGTGATCAAGGTGGTTGGGCCAAAGATTTCTCCAGCTACTTGGGAAGTGCAGTATTATCGAGTACTTCCTTGAGTAGATGATAAAAGGAAATTTTGTTAGACTCCTCTAATGTAATGAAGATAATAAAATAGATGAGCCTAGATTTGTGTGGGTTTGAGAAATGGAGACAGCTACTTAACAGGGAACATCTGCAAATGTTCTGTACCCTGTATTTTAGCAGCCACATGTCAGGAGAAAGATTTCCCCTTTGAGAGCCAGGGGAAAGGCTGTGTAAGTACAGCAGATCAGGTGCCTTGTGGTGATTAATGCTGCTCAGAACTCTCAGATTAACTGTTACTATGTCGAGATGCCCATTTCTCATGGTAGTTCAATTTGTGTGTTTTCCATAAAACTGCCCTGCCTGTCCCTCGTTATGCAGGAGGGTAAGGGGTTTTGAGAGGCTGCTAACATGGAGGCCTTGGGCTCCCTCCCCCTCACACAACTCCTGTGGTAGGTCTTCCAGATGTAAACTTTGATGGCCCTTGCAACTCCTCAGTTAAATGCACAAGACTCATGGTAATTCCATTGCATAGCTGCCAAAGTGTCAGGAAAGTTTATTTTAGGCATACCACCTAGTATGGCTGTTTTGCTGATTTCCTTTGCTTGAAGAGCGAAGGAAAGTTTTGTTGATTTCCTTTGCTTGCTCCTGTGAAACTGGAAGGATAATCTTCCCTTCCAGACTGGGACAAAACCACATTTCAGAATGTCAGACTTTCCTTAGAACTGGAAATGGAAAGCCCCAGCCAATTCCAGTAGTGACTTTTTTGTAGTTTGCTGTTGGTTTAAGTCATGCTGATGTTTATATGCTGGTCTTCTGGGGCTTTTTTAAGGAACCGGTGCTGGGAAGCTGGTCACACCTCCACAGCCACCTGCAAGATCCCCAACAACTGAACTTACAAGCAAGTCTGGAGTCTCAGCTTGGGCTACAGCTCATGACCCCTACACACCACTTAAAAATGGAAATATGCACATCATTGGTAATATCATTAAATTAAATATCTTGGCCTTAGTTAATAATTTTGGTACAGAAGCCTGTGTGTGTCTCAGACCTCAAAAACTCACTCAAGACTTTGTCCTAGCAATAGCAGGGTAGTATAATAGAAACATTTTTATACAACCTTACACAATAATAGAAAATTAGGGCTTTTTCAAAAAGGATTTGAATTCAGTCAGTAGAAAAGCACACACTACCTCCAAAGTTCCTTAACAATATGAAGAGTTCCCATAGTGTGCTTATATTACTAATCTTCAAACCAGATCATGGACATTGAGAGGTTTCACTCCTATAGGGCAAAGACCACTAAGAATTACTTTAGTGGTCTGATGAATTGGCCATTCATTCTTGTTTGTAGGTACAAGTCTCGAAAACTACCAATGAATACCTCTATTACCACAATACTATCAATGCAGAAAACTGGAACAGCAGCCAGAAGCTTAACTTCAGTTTTAATAGCAGGCAATGTTTGCAATTAAGACAAAAAACTTGGGTGGCTCACAGAAGTAGATGGTTTATACAGAAAGAGCCACTACCAGTTCCAGGATAAAATAAGCCAGCATTTTAAATTGAAATTACTCATGGCAGCATTATTGGGTTTTGGGTTTTTGTTGGTTTGGTTTTTGGTGTTTTGTTTTGTTTTGGTTTGTTTCTTGTTGTTGTTCTTTTAAGTATCTCTCTAGCAGCAGCTAATGTTTATTTCCCTGAAACTTCACAGATGACTTTGAATCAAAATTTACTTTCCATTCTGTGGAAGATTTCCCTCCACCTGATGAATTCAAACCATTTCAGAAAACATATCCCAGCAAGATACCCAGAGGTAAGTTTGTAAACATGGAAAGATCTGATCATTATCAAGAGGTTTAAAAATGAGGATGCTAATTAAAGAACTGAACCAGCATTAGCATAACTGGACTGCTAGCACTGCACAGAGAGGAATGGGATTTGTCACAGTGGCAACAGGGACCAAAAATATATTGAAAACCACTTAGTTACTTTAGAGTCTTAGCTAAAAACAAATTATGTGGCTGAACATGCAGCTTGTGTTTTTAGATTGCTAAATTTACAAGGCCTGTGACATTAAAAACAGTCATATTGTAAAAACAGACTTGGGAAGCTATTGAGTTTGATTTTTTTGTTTACTAACTTGTGAAATCACAGAGAAAGATTACTTGATCCATGTCTTCTATTATGTATTTTGATTTAAATCCTATGCATGGTGTTTAACACACCTGAGTAACAATGAGCCTGGACTTTGTCAGGAAGTGATAAATGGCTGAACCTTGCTTTATTCTTTTTTCTCCTTTCTTAACTTAGTGCTTAGAATCAGGTCACTGATGTAAGAGCAGTTCACCTATCCAGTTTTGAAAATGGGTAGTTGAAAGTACCAAAAGATCTCATGCCCATATTCTGCTTTTTTATAAAACCTAGTTTTCTGAATTATTAGATCTCCAACTTTTAATTAACCTTTTGTTTTGTCTCCATGCTAAGGTACTTAGCATGAATTTTCATAGTAGCCTCATTCAGGCTAAACAGTCTCCTGTATATTCTGATTTTTACTGAAGGGCTGCAGAGCACAAGCAATATGTGTGTGTATGTATGCAAACATGTGTATGTATATATCGGGGTAGCAGATAAATGCAATGTCCCTGCTATATAACTGCATCCAAAATACCTATTTAAAATCTGTCCTATCTATTTACAGATCCCTCTAAAAATCCTCCATTAAGAACACACGTGAGATGAGAAGAGTCTTCTGATTTCTCTGGGCTAGCGTCAAAAAAAGAAGATCAAGATAATATATAAGACAGTCCCTGTTGCAGTGATAGATTGTACTTGAGCCACAAGTACTGCAATATTAACATTTCTATAAACTATAAACCAGTATAAGTTATACCTTTTGAACTGGCCTACATACTACAGGAATGTTAGTACAGGCTTTTAAATTACTGTATATAGGTGAATATTTTTTAAGCAAAGCAGCATAAAGTTTAAATTCTTTGTAGCGCTGAAACAATTCTCATTCTTATTGTGCTGACAATGTTACCTCAGAATATTTTGTGCTACGTGCCTGTAGTTCTTTTTTTCCCTTCCATCATAATTTCTGGAAATTCTCCAGTTCTTATTTAGATATTTTTTCAATGAACTGTCAAACTAATATGCTATCTTTAGTCCGTTTTTATGTTTCCTCACTTCTTCATTCTGCCTGGCCTCACATTGCAGCAGGATGTCACTTTCATGAAGAGATGGGCCCACAATCCTTTTCTCATGAAGCATGAAGAGGAGATGCCAAGGAGCTGTGGCTGCTAAATGAGCATACCTCCTAATGATTACATATCCTTATAGGATAGTGTCTGAAGAAGCCCAGCTGGGTAGGGGGGTCATGGACTTGACAAAGATGACAGAACCTTTCCAAAGCAGAGGTTCTCTGTTGTAAGCAAGAAAAAGAAACTGCGTGTGTGAATACATGTGCCGCGATGAGCATACGTAAGGACACGTCCTGTCTTTTCCTGCTGGCACAGTGGGTATTTCTCATTTCTGCAATAGATTGCCTTTACCCAGCAATTACAAAGCCTTCGGATGAGGGGTCCAAAACCTACATTTTAGAGCTACTACTGTTCGCTAGCAGTGACGGTTCATTGTCCAAAACACACCGCGTGGAACACTCAGCCCCCAAAGTGGTTGTTGTCTCAAATAGAGTTGGTTGGGAAAAGTAACAACCTATCAACAGACTAGGCTGAAGTACTGCTTTTAATATTCAGACCTTGGGTGAGGTTTTTGGATCACAGATGTTTAGATCTGGTCCTAAGATGTCTATTTCTAGCATTTATTACCCTTATTCTTGTGCATTGGGAGTACACCAGGGAAGTGTCAGGGAAATGATCTTCCACTCTGCTCAGCACTAGTGAGGCCACACCCAGTGTATGGCCACATGTGCTGTGTCCAAATTCTGGGCTCCCCAGTGCAAAGAGGACATGGTCATGCTGAAGAGAGTCCTACAAAAGGCCACAAAGGTGATGAAGGGACTGGAGCATTTCTCCTATGAGGAAAGGCTGAGAGAGCTGGGACTGATTAGCCTAGAAACGAGAAGGCACAGAGGGGATCTCTCCAATGTATATAAATATTTGAAGGGAGGTTATAAAGATGGAACCAGACTCTTTTCAATGATACCCAGTGACAGAACCAGAGGAAAACGGGCAACTGCAACACAAGAAGAGCTATCAGAACATCAGGTAACACTTTTTGACTGTGTAGGTGACTGAGCCTTGGAACACGTTGCCCACAGACCTTGTAGAATCTCACTCTTTAAAGATTCTCAAAAGTCATCTGGACTTTGTCCTCGGCAACTGGCACTAGGTGACCCTGCTTGGCCAGGGGTGTTAGATCAGATGACCTGTAGCCATCCCTTTCAATCCCAACCACCCTTTGATTCCTCTTTTTACAGCTTTTCTGGGTTCCTAGACCTGGGTTACAACAACTCAAGGCACTGCTAGGGGCAGAGTGGCTGGAAATCTGCCTGACACTAAAGACCTGGGTGTGCTGGCTGACAGTGGCTAAACATGCTGAACAGGGGCCAGTGTGTGCTCAGGTGGTCAAGAAGGCCAACAACATCCTGGCTTGAGGAGGTTCAGAGGGGACCTTATTGCTCTCTGTAACCTGAAAGAATACTGTACCAACATGGAGGTCAGTAATTTCTCTAAAGTAAGAAGGCACCAGACAAGAAGACATGCCCTCAAGCTGTGCCAGGGGAGTTTTAGATTTGATACTAGGAAAAATATCTCCAAAAAGGTGGTCAGGCATTGGAACAGGCTCCTCAGGGAAGTGGTGAAGTCACCATTTAATACCTACAGGTATTTAAAAGACTTGTAGATATGGAACTCAGGTGATCCCTCAGGTTTTCTTTTACATTTTTCAGATTCTGTACTGCTTTAGCGTGTAGTTCTGAGCTTCATATTAGGGGATAGTAAGCTCTTATCATAGAGTAGGTAGACAAAGGACCCTTGGTCCTAGGGACCAAGGACAACTGATCCAAATTCCAAGCCCAAGAGCGTAAACAATGGTGGAATGAAGAGAGAAAAACAAGGATGGGACTTCATAATCTAAAGCTATAATTGGATGATTAACTCCAACATGCTAATGGATCAGAACTTACAAAAGTGAGAAACCTCCTGACTAGTTGTTCATTTTGTGACCATTTTGGGTTCATCTTGGGTGTAACCCTGTCTGGGCTCTTGTACTGCCCAAGGTGTATCCATTGAGGCCTTCTAATAATACCTGCTTTATTCTTTAACTCCCTCTAGTCTCTGTTCTAGGTCAGCCTTCACAAGGCATCACAGGGACATGGTTTAGTGGTGGACTTGGCAGTGCTGGGTTAACAGTTGGATTAGATCATCTCAAGAATTGTTTTCCAATATAAATGTTTCCATGATTTACCAGCCTGAAAAAGAATACTGCTGTTCCAGGGTGAGTCTGGTGCTAACAGCCAGACTATTACAGTTATGGCATTAATTTATATAATTGCCATCAATTCCCCTCAGTTAGAGGTGTAATAATGTTATAGATCACTGATGATCTTTCCCCCATGATGTTGCCTTTGAACAAAACTTTTTAGAAAAGACAGGTAACTGCATCTTTACATCCCTGTTTTTCTCTTTGTTGTTACAGCAGCTCAGTTATACTGTAACTATTCCAACACACATGCACATTCATGGTGTGAGATGGTGTAGGGGTAGGAAGCTTTTCACCCACAGGACTCCAAGAAAGCAACATTAGTCTTTTTCTAATTTATCATAATAGCTTGCTGTACATCATGAGAAAAGAAAAAAAGTGGTGATGCTTTGACCAATAGTGTCACTTACTGTAGTTGCTTGATAAATATGCATGAATGTAGTAACAAGCAGGGATCTTCATCTACATTGCTTCTCAAACAAATGGAAAAGTTGAATACTGTTTTTAAAACTATTTTGTTATAGTACTATTAAAAGTGGCATATTGTTGGCTCTCATTTATTCTGAAATGCGTGTACTACTCTGTAGTAAGTACCTTCCTAAGGATTTAAAAACTAATTCTAGACTACCTGCCAGCAGTTATAAAAGGAGAAGAAAATTTTACTCAATTTTTTATTATGGTTTGGGTATTTCAGAAATAAACAACATATTTCAGGGATGAAATGAGAAATCCTGTGCCTATTTGTTACCATTTCTGAAATGTTTCCAAATATTTGTCATTCAAAATCCATTGAACCATCTGGAGATACAGAGGATCCCAATGACTGTCACCGTGAGGCAGCTGATCCCGTAAGTCCCACTGTGTCCTTCCACTGAGACCCACCTCCGTTGAAGACCACTGCAAATATTAAGACATGCAGTTGTTCTGGTTTCTGCTGACTGCACCAAATCATGCTGCTGTACCACAGTTGGTTTTGGTTTTTAAATGTACTATACAACTGAAGCAAAATCAACATACTATTAGAAAATTATTACCTGGGTCACTGTGCTCAAAACAATTTATTCATTCTGTCATATAAGCAGTTCCAAATAAGGACATAAACGCCCATGAGATAATTGCAAGTGTTGCTTTCTTCTTTCTTAAGAAACAGGCAAATAAGATATATAATGTTTTTAACAGGAACAACTCACTTCTTTCATCTTGCCTCCCTCCCAGCTCTCAAAGATTAGAGATCCAAGTCATGCAAAATAGCTGCGAGAAGTGGTACATCCTAATTTTTGTCCTCTTGCTGGAGCAATCATTTTATTCCTGTTCCCTGGTTGTGCAGAAATACCCAGCTACTCCTATCAGGTGATGTGATTTCATGGGAAATCCATTTACTTCAGTTATGGGCAGCTGGAAAAAGCACACTTCTCTTTCAGAGCACTTCATCCCCTGCAACATTCTCTGAAATCAAGTGTGTTTCTTGCAGTCAGCCCCTCCTCTGGTTACCATACAGAGAAGCTAAATTTCAGGGTCTACTTGAATATTTCCTTCTCCTGTTGTCTACACTTTAAAATACTTAAGATTCAGGAGTTGGTCCTGTGATAGACAGCATGGGAGGATTTTATTGTGAATGGGAGGTTATTAGATAGGCCGTAAGAGAAAATATGTTCTTCTTTGTTTTCTGTAAGTAAAAAGGCCCCATGTTTTCTTGTCCAATTGCCATTTGTCATATAAGGCAATATTAAAGTAATGAATCTGAATGGAACAATTTCATTTTAAAAATCCTGAGAATGCAGTGTGCCAGTATGGCAATGACTATTTCCCTGATGCACAACTCTTAACAGTTTCAACTTGAGGTGTTTAGAAGCCTGTGGTTCTTCACCATCCACTTTCTCAAACAGTGAAGGATTTTAACTCTGTATGTTAACTTCCACTTACTAAAGACATGGACATCCTCTTTCAACCTCCTGTAGGAAAAAAACCCACCAAGCATCTTCACTGGACACAGTGTTTACTGGTTTAATTCTCAGTGTTTGCTCTATGTCACTTCCACAAGAAGAAAATACAATGAAAAGCAGGTCTGCCTGTAGCACTGTGGAGGGAGGGAAGCATGCTGCAGCACTGCACCTAACGTAAGGAAGCATAGGACAGCCATTTCTAAGCCTAACCACTTGGATTGCCACACCCACCAGCAACTCACTGGCACTTCATGGATTCATCAGCCGTATGTCTCACAGCAGAGATTACTAGGAACTGTGCAGCAGTCCAAAGGCAGAAAGATGGAGAACAGCCAGGTATTTATCAATGTCCAGCATCTATTCCTTTAAAAAATTCCAAATCTGTAGCTTGTATATAAATCTGACACCTTATTAATTGCATCTTAAGAGCCAATATGTGTAGATCTCTACGGCATCCAGGCTGGCTCTGCACTTCAGTACTCAGTTCTGGAGCAACAGCCAGGTGCACTACAAACACAAGCTGGCTGAGGGCAAAGGCAGAACTTAACATGGGGACTGAATTCTGATAATTTGTACAGGCATAATGTCAGGTGCTGAGCTACTGCAACCAGATAAAGTCATATGAGGCCAGCACAAGGTCAAGAGCCAGGACTTACCTTCCTGCCCGTCTCAAACTGTGATTTCAACTCTACCATTTCAACTCTGTATGAATTAGCAAGAAGAGAAAAATGCAAGTCAGCTTTGCTGCAAGCCTAGTCCTGAGCAACAGAGGGAACACCAGATTGCTTTCAATTACAATATGGCAATTAGCCTGATGAAGTTAAATCTTTACTTTAATTGGTTGCCCAACATACATGTTTTTAACATTCTGTACTAAATTAGCCAGCATGCACACAGTAATTGGACCAGTCAGTGACTTTCTCCTTTCACTATATACATACACAAACAGGAACACCACGAGATTGGACAAAGGAAAGCAATTTGTTAACTGGATACAGCTAGCAAGTAACATTTTTTCCTCTAGAAATGTTTTTTCCTGCAAAATCACAAGTGTGAAGAACTTTCTTTCAAGGCTTGAAGAACATTGCAGTCTTCCAGTGAAAAGGCTAACAATAGCCACTGTAGCTGAAATGAGATAAAATTTGTTGAAAATCCATTCCAAGCAAGAGTAAAATTGAAAAAAAATCACCTGCAATGCAGCAGGTAGAAAGATGGGTTTGAACCCAATTCTTAACATCCTCAGCTTAGTGTAAAAGAGGAGGAGGTTCAGAATTGGATCCAACATTTCACATTCGCTGGTAGAGTAGTACCTAAAGAATTGTTTGCTTACTTTATTTGAAGAACTTTAGTTCTGTGTCAACACAGTCATAGAAAAGATCCACTACTTCAGCTGGATCCAGAATCTCTGTACGAGAAAGGATATCTTCCATTGCTTCTAAACCTTGTTTTTCAAGGTCTAACATAATCCTCATCAGTTTCTGGCCTTTATCCTAAAGGCATGAAATAACCAAACTCAGTTAACCAGCAAACAGGCTCATTAAAGCATTTTACTCTCTCTTTGTTACAGAGATATTTTCAAATATTTTTAAAAATTAAAAAGACTTTTTAAGTACAAACTATTTCTGTTATTAGTTTTTTGGGTTTTTTTTTTGGATGGCCAAAGGCTAAAAGGCACAGTCCTGGACATTTTTTGCATTAAGAAAAATAACCAAACAGGAGTTGCTAAGTTTAAAGCAAAGGAAGAGAGTCAAAGATGGATAGAGGAAAATTATATAAGGTTTGTACCTATAATAGAGATAAAGCAAGTTCTTACGCTTGTAATCCCACTAACAGAACTATGTGAGAAGACTGGAAGCCCTAAGAATTGTACAGGTTGTGGTATTTGCATGTGTATCCCTCAAATCAACACCTGCAAGATGATGATAGATCTAAAATGATATGTCATGTAACAGTATTTAGATTCCAGATCCCAAGGCGGTTTTGTGTGCCATTACGACTTACTGCTCTTTATGTTTCTAGAAAATTTACTCCTGGAAAAGGTGTAATTTCAATTTATCCAAATGTTATTTCAACACTACTTTTTTTTTTTTTTTTTTTTTTTTTTTTTTTTTTTAATGGAGAAGTGCTGCTTGTTTTGCTTGCAGCTTTCAAAACTGAGTTTCAGGAGAAAACAAAGTCATTTAGAATGAGCGGTGGTTCTGAGTTTTTCAGGATTTTTCTCAGCATTTTGTCCAGAAAGAGTAGAGCATCTCATCTAAGGTTTAGGCTCTAGGATGGGCAGCTTTTAGCATGAAACCTGAGTAGAAACTGCATTTTCTTTTCTACTGCAACTATTGGTATCATTGTGAGGACTTTAATAGGCAAGAGTCCACAAGATGCTAAGATGCCTCTTTCAGGTCTTCCCTAAATCAACATCTTGCAAAATATATGAGAGCCAGCTGCACATTAAAACAATGTTACCAGAAACCACAGATTTTAAATTACACCATTCCAAGAAATTAAAATCTAACCCCAGCTGCATTTAAATAATGTTTGTACTAGCAAAGGTTATCATAGCTTCCTTAATCAATAGTGGGTAGGTCTGAATGTTGTTATGATCATAGCAAGACTCTGACCCATGCAAATACACACAGAAGAAAATTGTAGAAAAGCAAATCCTCTGTGGGAGTTCAACACAACTATGTGAGCATCTTCCACAAATTGCCTGAATACCCATAAAAGCCTGACAGGTGTGCCTTGGTGAGCTTTGCCTCTGTTTCACTTCCTTAAAACCACTTATCCAGTTTACTGCTGTAGTTGTAATTGCAAATGTTGAGAAGTTATTGAACTACCTGCCCAATGACACCAAAAGTTGTATCTCAACCATTTGGCAAAGCTATACAGAATAATCTCCTTCCTGACTTTAGTTATTTCAAAAGTATTTGCACAAGAGATCTTCAACACTAAGTTTTTACCATGGAAGTTTTTCAGCCCTCGGGTATGTACTGCATGGCACTGTAAAGTGTCCTTTCTTCTCACATGGCATTTTCAGTTAAAAATTAACACAAATGCATTGAACTGCAAAATGCAAGACTTGCCAAACTGTCATGTGCAAATTATTCCTTAAAGAAAAATACCTTTCCAAACTATGTAGTTCTTAATCTAGCATATGATTTAAATTACAACACTCCTGCCCTCATCCTAGCACATAATTCTGACACCGTGTTGCACTAGCATCCAGTGTTCTAAACACTAAAAATCCTATATGCAGAGTGGGGACTGAACAACATAATCAGTTTAACAGTTTGACTTTGCATTTTGTAAAAGTAATGGAACAGAGCAATACTCCCAGGATAACAAAAACTATGTAGAATAGTTTGTCCTTCAGAGGGCATAATTTTTCAAGCTAAACTCTCAAGGATTCTAAGACTATTCAGAGAATGTTTTTCAGTGAGTGACTGTGAATTAAGTTACGGAGTTGGGAATCTACATTGACTTCAGTTCTTTAATTCTAGGTCCCACAGCTCTTACCTGATCGTTCTCCAGGAGAGATCGGGCCCATTCATGTGCCTTGTACAATTCATGCCTACGATCTGGTTTCTCCTGGAATCGAGGTATCTTTTTAGCAGGATCATCATTGCCAAAAGAAGGAGACTGGACTTTTGGTACTAATTTTACATCATCAACAAAAATAAAGGGTTTAAATATGGACCTGAAAGAAATGAGAATTACTGCTTGCAGTAATATTGAAATGTTGCAGAATATTGAAATGTTCACCAGGCTATTTTCAAACAATACATACAGAGCAGCATAGGTAATTCATCTACACTAGGCAAGGGTAAAGCTAGAGACGTGGTACTGGTCAAGCAAAACAAATCTGTGTGCTTTAGAAGAACTGGGTTTGGCAATTATTGAAAAAACATATTACCCCTTTTACCTATAAGATTCTCTGGTGTCCTCATGCCAGTTCTGCCACTTCTTTAAAAAAGTAGCACTGATTTTCTCCTCCAAGTTTTTTGTAACAAATCTCAACATTCAGCCTCACATCAGTTTTTTCTCCTCTGTTCCCACTGGCATCTCTCCTCCTTCTTCCAGATTTAAGTTTTATTAAAATCAGAAAAAACCACTTGCATGGAACAGGAAAGATTACATATCTTGCTCAATATCAGAGGATTTTGCATATAAACAGCAGCACTTTAGAATTCTACTTCAAGAGCTGGGGGAAGACATGGCTACCAATATTGTGACACTTCTCAAAGTATTTTAACACTGAATTTGGGTCTAAACTCCTAAGAGAGACAAACATAAAAAACCCCCATCAATACAGAATCTTCATTCCTGAGAAGCTGAAAGTAGGTTTTGGCAAGTGCATGGAACAACTGCCTTCCTTCTCTTTAGATACAGAACAACAATGCACCCTGCATTCTGCAGTGAAGAACCTGCCAAAAGTGAAGACTTCTGCAACACACAATTAATAACCACTGCCTGTGTACAGTCAGCAGGTTCAGTGCTGTAACCCTTTCCATCACTGTCACAAAGGCTTGCTGACTAAGAATTTACGTGACTCACTAGCTGCATTTAAAATAATTCTTTCTTAATGCATTACAGTGTCAAATAAAGCAAGAAATGTTGAAAACAAGGCTTTTAAGCCAGGTTTTCAACCTTCAAAAGGACAGAAATCCCAAAAAATAATTTGAAGCCTTGCTCCTTTTTATCGCAAAGAATTTGCATCAAGTCAAAGAAAAGTTTGGGTGAGCAAGTTTAAAATTGACACTTAACCATGAAAGTCTGAGTTGCATAATGCAAGGTGGGTGGAAAGTCGCTTTGGTATGGAAGACTTCCACAGCCTTCAGTAAAATCTAATGATTACTACCAGCCCTCTGACAGGAGTGACAATCAAGGGCACCATTTTTTTCTCCCCATAACCTCTTTACCTCAATGCAAGTGGTTTAGTTTAATTTCTGTGAATCCCGGGTGGATTCTGTTTAAAACACAAGGTAATTCATTAGTTCTTTCATGATCTGGCATATGGGTTCCCTAATCTCCTCAGCTACTTTCACCTAGCAAGGACACCATGTAAACCAACTGGAAATTGTCCCTCAAATAAAAAACATGCTTGGGATCCCAACAACTTGCAGATGTTTTGATGACATATGAAGCTACCTAGAGTACACAACCCTTCTCTGATAGTTAAAACACTTCATTTTTGGAGTTTTGCACCTACCTGTTAGAGAGAAGTGACTTGGGAAGCCCCCCACTTCATAATCTCAACAGCCTTCCAACTGGAAAGGAACTACACTGAAATTCCTGGCTCCTCCCTAAGCTGCATTTCCCCTAGAAGCTCACTAACAGGACTGTCAGATTGCACGTCACAGAGCATTTCTGGTTAGAACACACTCTTGAAATATGTTCCAGTTTGGGTGGCAGGGTTTGTTTGTTACCTTTCACCCCATCAGCTGCTCTGCACCCCAGGGACCCCAGTGCTGTGGCTTACCTTGAAGGATCTGGTGTGCCAGTGAAGTAATGAATACAGGGAAAACTAGGGTCCTGAGGCAGAACAGACACTATGCTAGCTGTAGTGAGGAAAGATTCAGAGTCCACACAGACACCACTATCCTTGTCACGCAGGACATCAATCATAGCTTGTGCAGAAACGTCACCTATATGGAGGGGGGGAAAAGATTCCTGAGTGTTCAATGGCTTGGAGCCCAGGTAAGGATTTTAGCCTGAACAAGCTTTGGCCTAAAATGGCCACTGACACTTGACATGGGCATGTCACAAATCCCAGTTAACAGTTTCTACTTAAGCAATGAACATTCAGAAAGAATGTGCCTAGCTATGAGAACGGTAAGAAGCATTAATTAGGCATGGCAATTGCCAGGTAGGGAGAGATGCTATTAAAAAGGTGCATATTCAGGAAGAAGGCTGTAATACTGCTTTAGCAGTCACTATGAACAGACTACTTATTTAAAACATCCTTTTTCCACTACCCAAGCAGGGCAGAATGAGATCTTCCACTTCCTAGTTTCCATTCTCAGTTGAAATTTTGAAACATCATCTTGCAGTCACAGAATGTTACAGCAACAGACCTAGGCACTTAAGATTTTTCTCCAAACCCCTATCTACAAGAATCCTCTGTTCTCACCATGTTTGCTGCCTGTGCTCATCCCAGCTTTCCCCCCATTGGCCCTCCATGTTTTCTCACATCCTCCTTTGGCAAATCAGGCTTCTTCCCTGTACCTTCTCAGGCTCTGCAGTGACTCAAACCTCCATGCACAGGTGCCTCAACACACCAGGAGACACAGAATGACACAGCAACCTGCAAGACTTTCAGCCATAGCCATCTATCTGTAGGGGCCCTCAGGGTTTTTAGTGCTATAATCCAGATTTATTAAGATCTTTTACCTATAGCCCTTCAGAATTACTGTATCTGCCTCAGACACTAACCACACTCCCTGCAACTCTGCAGCCTTAGCAAGAACTCTGCAGTGCAACAAATATCTCACCCCTACACTCTTCAGAACGTTTACCAACGTGAAAATGCCAACAGTCTAGCAAATTCACATCTGTGGTAAAGGGCTTTTTAAAAAATGATAATTTGTGCTATTTTTCATGCATGAAAGAGATTATATGTGTCAGCTATGCACTGCTGCAGGCTGTCCATTTCAGAGGTATTTTGGCCAGCTGCAGTGAACTGAAGTCAGTAATACATCTGGGTCTGGAAATAAACCCCTCCTTTGATTGCAGAGAATCAAAGGATGTCTGTCCCAGTAGCTTTGTTCTGTTTAACAAAGAAAAAGCAACTTCAGTTTGCAACTGCTCTTCCTTAAACTATGCTCTTGAAATTTTCTCCAAAAGATTAAATCTACATTTTCCCCAAACGGCAGATTCCGCTGAGCTCAATCTTTGATACATGAGGCCATTTTTTTATAGTATAATTTTAGTGTTATGTAGGGCCACTAAAATTCCAGGAAAGCACAGATGTAGTGGCACATAATGCACATCAGAATACTGAAGAAAGTTATTTTGTAATTGTAATCCCATTTTGAAACCTTGGGGGCAACATTAAGGGCTTCATCCTAAATTGTGGCAAATTTAGGGACAGTCTTTAGTTCTGATCTTCCTTCCTACACAGTTTACACATAGCGGTGTTCTCAGTCACATGTAGTTCTGGACAGAATGCCTGAAAAGGAGGTAGCAGTGACTAAAAACACAGTGTGCCCACAAAAGATAGTTCAACACTTACCACCTTGCTTTTCTAGGCTCTCCCTGCCAGAACAACAGGCTAAATGGTCATCAGCAAGAGAAAACACTTCAGAAAAATTGAAGTCTGAGTCTCCATTCCACCAGCCTTGACTTTTCACATAATTCCTTAGTTCAGGATGCTCAGCATCAATTTTTGTAGTTAATGAAAGCTGATTGCAAATGCATTTCACTCCCTCTAGAAAAAGCCACATATTAAAAGAGAGCATTAATACAGTTTTCCTGGGAGAAGCTGGAAGGAAAATGTCATATCAATTAGGAAACAAATTAATCCATTGGTTAGTATGTACATTTGGCATGACTGCGTAACTATATAATTACACATACACAGAATTACCAATCACTGCAGGTTGCAGAGCTCAATCCTCTGTGCCCTGCTGAGACACTGACACCTGTGATTAACTGTGGGATTTAGACAGAATGCCGGTTTCACAATCCACACCTCACACATTCTGACCACAAAGCAATAGTGTTATCCAAATGCCAAAGGCACCTGCCTAATCTTTTTTCTAATGGCATATTCCACAGACACAAGAAGGCTTGAGATCTGACTTGATTCAAAATATATTTCAGCAGAACTGCTTTTAATCAACCTTCTTTGCCCTTCAAAATTAAGAACTTGGAAAATGTTTTTTAAATCATTACAATTGTTTTAAGCTTCCCAGCTGAGAATCAGTTTCACTGTAGGCTGCAAGATAGGTTCAAATTACAATTCTTTTATCTTAAATTTTAAAATGGCATGAAGTAAAAAGAATGTGTAAGTAGCCTCCAAAGAATACTGAACTTTTTTGAAGTTCCTTTTATCAAAAATACTGCAGTGCTTATAACCATATATCCACAGCATGGCAGTGGTTGCTGCAGATATTCCTCAGAGAATAAAGCAAACTTATTGGAAGCCAGCGAAAGAGCTGATGAAGTAAAACTACAAACTAAAATAAATACAGATTCTGGAATTTGGCACAAATCATTTCTTAGACAGAAACAAAACCAGTAGTTGTGGAAGTTTTTAATACTGCCTTCCAAAAAAGTAAGCTTGCTTTTGTAATGCCCCATGCATGCAATTTAAATAATGGGTAACAACTTCAGGAAATTCTGTGCATCATTCTGAAAAAAAGTCCCTGTAATCCAATTCTGATTTACATGAGGGTCACTGGCAGCTTATTCTGATTCACCCTTTCAAACAGCATACTTTTCAAGGAATTTTCTTGATTGATGAGGATATTTGTATTTGTGTTCAGCTAGGCAACCCATTCTTTAAGAGCTCTTTAAGTATTACATTTATCAACTCATGCAAAATAATATTTCATAAGTTTGATCCACCACCAAAAAAAAAATTATCAATCAAATAAATTTTTCCACTGATACTTAGGAACATTAATAGAAAGGACTTTGAAATATTCATTCTCAAATTATTGTCTGAGAGTTGCTTAATAAACACTCACTATAAGCTTTACAGTCCTGCAGCAGTAATATTAGAACTCTGACGATAGTCAGGAAAAATTATGCCTTCACACTGGGGAATGGCACATTTTCCACATTTTGACAGCATTTGTGCATTCATTTGAAAGCTTAAGAGGCACACTTATGGTGGTAGAAAAGAGCCCCCTGAAGAAAGTATGAAATAGAGAGTTCTTACATAGCCAGCAGCCTCTCCTGCAGGGCTGCAGGAGGTGGAAACTACTTATCTGCAGCTCACAGGGACCTCCTGAAGAGCAATGTGCCAGTAGAAACCAGAACAGAGCAGTAGAATCATTTCAAAAAGCTGCAAGCATCAGATGGGGGCAAGAGTTTATTTGCCTTCATCTGAAGGGAAGAAGGACATGAAGGTTATGTATTGCTGATGCAGCTAAAACTGCTACATAAAACCCACTGTTCTTCGAATACCAGTCAGGCAGGTCAAGAGAAGAAGGCAGGCTGTCACTGCATAATGCCAGGAATCAGCTGCTTGCCAGAACTGGGATTTCATCAGGACAGTATTTTCACTCTTCGCTCCTCTATGTTCGGTACCTATTTATGTCAGATAACCTGTAGGTATCCTTAAAATGCAAGCTTTACTTGGGAAAAGACCACCTCTGTGAAGGTCACTGGTTCCTGTTTGGTGGCAGGGACTGACAGCAGGCCATCACACAGCATTGCACAGCCTGGTGATATTTCTTTGCTCCTCCCCATATCTGCTATCTCCTACCTTTCATTTAGGGAGAAAGGAGGAGAGAATTGAATGGATCTGTCATAGCTCAAGTCATGGATGAAAAAACTCCTCTTGAACACGCTGAATTTTCGCTTCATTCAAGCATGAGTACATTTTAAAAAGCTCTTCTCTTATGAAAATAAAAAAAATCCCTTCAAAATCAAGATGAGAATAGATTAAATACAGGCCTTAAACAATCATATGACATGAAGGCAGCCCATATATGCTGGAAAAGTTTTAAATAAATTCATCCGCTAAGCCAGTGAATTCTAGAAGTTAGTTTGGCAGCTCTGGCTTCACACATACAGAAAAAGAAACCATTTACAAGTTTAAAGAGCAGAAAATTATTGTTTTGCACTATCATTAAAAAAACAGAGATATATCTATTTCAGTAAAGGAACCACGACCAGCAACCCATTCAATTTATCATCTGAAAAAAAGCCCTTTTGTCAAAACTATCAACGCTTATCCTTTCCTCCAATATTTTAGATTTGTAAATAATAATTTGGGCATTAATGCCATCAAAAAAAACCATCTGACATTTCCAAAAAGAAAATGAATCTGGGAAAATATACCTATCAAATATAAAAATTATGATTATTACATAGTTTATGCATAAAGGCAACAATCTCCATCTTCACAGAAAATGCTAAATCACATCAGCAAATGCAAACCAACACATGGAAGAAAGCCGAAGTAGTACAAATATCGAAAACTAAAATCGGTGATTTAATCAAACACTTGCATTCATTAGTCACTTATTTAAACTCACTTTAAGACCAATTCTTCCAAGACCACTCTTTACAGCTATTTTTAATAGGATTTGCAATGAGTTCTAAACTAACCTGTGATTTTTTCAGCTGCCCAATACTTTCCAGAAGTCTCCAGTACCCAGGCTTCATTTCTGTCCACAATCAAAAACGCACTTTGGAAAGTATGGCATGAACTCCCATCTTCATAATAATTTCCACCTTGTCCATGCTCTTCCAACAGAGCAACTATTACATCCAAAGCTTCTTTAGCTGTTGCACCCCTTTCTAAGCCAAGTCTACAAGGAAAGAGTAAAACAAAGAATCAGAGAGGAATGATACAGTAAGATCTCCTTAAGTTATTATTTTTAAACACCAGCACTCATCTGAATTTAAAACATTGAAGTGCCTGGTATGCCTAATATGAGTTCTTGCTTTAGGTAGTTACTAAAGGATGAGATATAGAATTATTTGTTTCTAGTCTTCATTTGCTATGCTGGTTCTTTACTCTCAAGCCTATCATAGCTGGCTTTTAGGTTTTTTTTTTTAAAGTCCAATTACCAATCATTGATCTCAGCTGTACTGTAAACATGTAATGCTCTATTTATCTCCTCGGGCAGAATACATTTGAAGGACAATTTACAAGTATTTTTTTAAGTAACAGCTGTAACAAGGTTACTTTTCTGTACAAGGATGGGAAATTGTAAATTAATATTACCAGCTATTAAAAAAGAAACAGAGTATTCAATATTACAGGCTCTCTACAACCTCTCTTTCCCAATGCTCTGGTTGGCCATGGAAGCCAGGTGTTATCCTTATATACATACTCTATGCTGTAAAGACAAGCATATGTGCACAGTCACACTTCAGAGCTCCTGCAGAGGCTTCCCCAAAAAACTATTTGAATACCAGATATGGCTTTTGTCAGAAGCAAGAGCAACCATATGTCTGAAAGAACAGAATTTTAAAAGGAAGTTCAAGGAAAGCAAGGATATTTTATGGAAAAACAAACTGAGGTGTGGTAATAAATTTTACAAAGCCATAGGGAATGACTGTATCCTGCCTTGAGTAAGTGGCATTAAATAAGCCATTGATATAATTTACAGCCCTAATTGAATCAACAACAAAAGCAGTAACCAGAAGTTGAAATCAGAACTGCAAACAATTTCACTGGTTCTAAAATCCAATTACTGGTAATGAAGAAATGCAGTGTTTCAAACAACAGTGTATCCATGCCTCCATCCTTTGGGAATTACCTAGATCAGTCCAAAATTTCTCTCTGTTGTTTTGCCACCTTAATATTTTCCTGTGTTTGTCTTTCTCTAACTGCTCTATGGACAAAATAACTTTGACTGATGGACAGTTCCAAGAAAATAACATTTTTAGACATAAGCACTATCTAAGCTAGCTCTTTCCATTGCTCTTGAAATCACGTGACAAGAAAATACTACTCTCTTTCTTTCCTAAAAATTACAGTAGACAAATCAGGTCCTGATAATTTGAATACAGATTTGTTGATCTCAGTACTTCTCTGCAGTGGGTCTGCATTGTTAAATACTTGGCTACTATTAGCCTTGTTTTAGGCTAAATTATTGAAAGCAGTGTTTTCATCTCTCTCAGCAGCATCTATTTATCACTAACTGACAAACAAGAGCTAAGAGCCAACTAGAATTTTAAGGCTTAACTTAAAGTGACAGTTCCTCCTCCATCATCTTCTTACTTTACATTTATAAGATCTTTCCCTCTGGTCTTTCTTGTTAGCTGAAACTTGTTTTGTACTGGTGACTCCATTTTTAGTCCCTCTGCATTTATGTTTTTCCTTCATTCTTTTCTTTACTGGTGCAATTGCTTTTTCAGACCAATACAGCTATGCCAGTCTTTGCACATACCAGAGACATAATTTAAAAGCCAGTCCAAAAGCATGTCTTATTTATTCCCAAAGAGCAGTCCATGACACAGGTAAGTGAATTGACTGAAAACTACCTTGGTGACCATACAGCCACTAGATTCAGTGATAATCTTCTCCCCTCTCCCCAGTTAATGACTAAAACCATTAGGTTATAATTAGATCAAAAACTGCCAAGAGACATAACATCCCACTAAAACTTTAATAAAGTCTCCCTGAAAATTTCCATTTGAGATGGTTACAGTCTAGCTTTTGCTGTCAAAACTGCAGCAGGGATTCAGGCTTGTGGGAATCCAGGGCTTCCCTCTGGCTGCCCTGGCAGGTCTGGGACCCCTGTACAGAGCCCTGAGAGACACTGTCTCTGATCTCTGTCCATGGAGAGGAGTTTTCAATCTTACAGGATGAATTACAAGCTTTGAGTGTTTTATAAGAGTAATAATTAAGTGTGACACGGGTGCAAAAGTAAAATTTTAGGTTTCTAGATTAGGGGTTCAGAGGGGACAAGATGAAGGAATTGGGTGTGTCTTGTCCTTTTCCTCCTTCTTCATGCCCTCCATGTTTCACTGTAGTGTTGGCATTTTTCTATTGGTTTAGGCTGGGCACACACTGTTCAACGTAGATGATAGGTATTGGCACATTATTGTAAATACAGTACACGTAGTTTCTGGTACATAATGTTTGTAACATCCCACTGAGGGGCAGAGCCCCGCACACTGCCCTGCAGGACAGACCTGCGGCAGGGCAGCAGAACATGTTAGAGATAAGCAAGAATAAACAACCTTGAAAACAGCACAGACAAATTATGGCTTCTTCTTTGGCAACGGGGCAGAAAGACAGAGACTTTCTACAATCTCGGAATCACCAATACCCACAGATTCCGACACAGGCTGAAGAAGCACCCTTTAGGTATTATTTTTCTATAAATGGCTCCAATGTTACATTTATTTCCATTAAGTAAAGGTATAAGCACTGCTTTTGCTTGGCTGCTCCTATCTGTCAGTCACAAGGGACAGGAAAATAAAATAAAAATTTAAAAAAAAGGACAAAAGGCCATCCTACGCAACAACCACACAACTCATTTCCACAAAATTAAGCCTTGTCAATTATCTCAGCATCAATGTCCTGTGCAACCGCAGTATAACCCTCCCACTAACACACTTCAGAGTTCTCTTCAAGGTGAGCTGAAAGAACAGTTAGAAGCAATTTCAACCCCAGATGAGAGCTTGAATTACTTATTAATAAAATCGTAGTGATTTAGTACAATCCACTGCCTAAGTACCTCCACTATGCTGTCATATTGTCAAAACAATATTATCTTAAGCTTTTCAACTTCACCTATCTGTTACATAATGCAGGCTTTCCAAATTAACTAACATACTTGATGACATTCTACTTTATTCAGTTTTGAGGTCTCTAAGGAAAGAAATCAGTAAACAAATTAATACCATTTTAAAGAGCATTCTTGACTCCCTGCCAAGATTGGCATCTCTGTGTGGCTCTGAAAAAATTATTTCACCTATGGTGAAAAGAACAAATAAATAATACAAACACATAGGAATTAAAATTAAGACAAAAATGCAAAAATAAGGGTGTAATTTACAGGTTTCTCCATATTTATCTTTTGTATGATAGTGCTGTCCTAACTTATCAGCAAAATAATACATGAATTCTTCAGAAGTATATGCTTCCTTAAGTGAACAGGTGTTTTACAGTTGCAACTGTAAAAAAACAACAACAACAATAAAAAACCAACAAACCAAAACTGCAGGCATCTAGGAAGACTACCTGAAGAAAATCCTGATAAGCTAATTAATGCAGCAATACTGGTATAGCTTTCAAAAATCAGCTTTTGAATAAATCCCTTGGGAAACTAAGGGTTCCTTAGGAATTTGGACTGGAGCATATTTTCCCTCCGTTTTTCTGTATGTATGTGTCCATGTTCTCCATTTAGATTAACTGGGACAGGGATCAGCCTGCATGGAATAGGACCAACTTCTAACCCTGAAGTCCATCACACAAACTTTATTAGTTTCTTAAGAATCATTCAAGTGTTCTGACATGCTGTGATACTCCACCAAAGAGGCAGAGCTGGTTCCAGCTGCTTCACTGCAGCCCAGAGATCGATTTTGTACTTGATGGATCGATCTCTATTCTATGAGGTGACATGGAATAGACACACTTAATTCAACTGGCCAAGTCATCACAATCAGAGGAAGAATCACTTAGGCTGCAACAAGCAGCAGATGGTAACAACACATCTCTGGTTCTCCTTGCCTGAAGCACCCTCTCTCTGCATCTGAGCTACAAATTCTTCAGCAGGTAAGAAGGAAGAGAGGGAGTGTAGCACCTACAGGTGATGATTACTTGTGGTTCAGTGCCTCCTTACTTTGGTATGTCTTGATTTGCTAGTGTGGGTAAATCTAGAGCTGTTGGATAACATATATATTTGAATGTTAAACTGTCCTTTGAGAATGTAATAACAGATTAAGAAGTAAGCAGAACTTGACATTTAAACCAGTGTTTTGGTAAAGCTTCAAAAGGACTGTGGTAGGACAGAAAAAATAAAAGAGGAGCTTAGAAAGTCATCTAAGTCTTTTTCTTCACAAAAGGTTATCCTATACTTCCTTAAACAACCCCTCTACAACATCTACTTAGCATCTTTTGATGCAATTAAATTCTTAAGTTCTCTCAGGTATAGCTTCTCCACAGATTCCTTTAGTATATACAGGGCTTAGAGAAAACACCAAAGAGAAAGTTAACCCAAATTCCCTCATGATTTTGTCAGTGGCCAGATTTTAAGAGCTCTCTGATCACATTTCCAATTTCCACTGCATTCTCTTCAATTGGCCCATATTCCTCTTGATTTATGGTAGCTGGAAGCAGACACTATTTCTGCAGGGACATGTTAGAGAACAGTTACAATTTCAGGCAGCTATGCACCTAACAACCATTTCTTCTAACTCATATTTCCCAGCTTGTTCATGAGAATAACATTGAAGGTTTTAACATCCTCTTAAAAGTCTATTTCCTATCCTTTTATCTATAAAATATCTTAATTCATTGCAGGAGTAAAGTGGAATGGTTTGATGGGATTTTTCTTGACTACCAGTTATTACTGTGCATTTATTAACTCCTTGATATTTGAGGTTTTTCCCTTTCAGGAACTGAGGTTAAGCTGGTTTACAGCAACTCCTTTTAACAATATTAAGTATAGCCACAACATTTAACTTTTTCCAGTCAACCGAAATCTCTCCCATTTTTCACAAGTCCTCAAGAAAAATGAGAATTCACATGTAACTGCTTCAGTCAGCTTATTAAGTATCCTGGGCAAAGTCCAGTAGGACTATTTTGTCTAAGACTGATTTACTTAAATATGCAGCTGTTGTCCTGTTTGGTCTTTGAATTGAGTCCATTTTCTTCATTACTCTTTGTAATAAGTTCGCATATTCTCTCTGGTTTCATTTTCAGCTTTCATCCCCCACTCAAGCCTCCTTTAAATTCTCTTCACCACAAGATCAGCATGCAGGCTGGGGCTTACAGTGCAGCACAAGCCTTTTGGGCAGACAGCCGTCAATGAACAGACTCTCAGGAGTTTGTGTGCCAGCATGTGAATAAGGGCAATGGCTTGCATTGGAATGCATGGGCTGAAGTAAGGCACAGTAGTTTGTTTATGCCTACAGTTGGCTATAAGCCCAGAATTAAGCTTTTTAGGTCAGAGTAGGCTGTTGTAAAGTGGGGGAGAATGAAGGGTACACCAGAAATCTGATATTACAAATTAGTTAGCAGTTCCTTACTAACAATGTAATTATATCTCTTACCCTGTCAGAATAGCCACTGCTGGACTGTAGGGTAGGTAGACAAGGTATATTGAGTGAACCCACAACAGATTGGCACATTTTTGGTAGCTAAATTCAGATTGCAAATGTTTTAAGTTTTCACTCAGTTGTATCTGGAGCCCTTCCTAGCCTGGTAATATTGTTTTAAAATCTCCTTATGCCAACACCACAAAGCTGTTACCTGGTACCAGCATCATCTAAGGCTGACGATGAAAGGCTGGTCACAGCTCAGCAGGACACCCACCTGACAAGATCCATGCCCAGCAAGGCTTCAGACTCAGAAGCTGGTTCTCTGGTCACGACAGCTTCGTTGGCTACACACACTCCGTGCTCATTAGCTCCCATTTCTGCCCCCCAAAGCCAGGAGGGCCTGCTCAGCACCACAGCATGAGTCTTGGGCACCTGCTCAATCTCGATGTATGTGCACTGCAGAAACAGCAGGGAGAGAGAAAGTTAAACAATCACTTCATCTATTGCTGTGACTGCAGCAACACAAGACAGAAAGGGCACACGTTATTTAAAAGATCCGTGTTTTGTGAATGAACAAGGAACTTTTTAAAACATTTAAGTGTCATGTTTGAGCTTTCACATCCTTATATTGCATAAGCCTGGGAAAAGACATGTGCTGATGCTTGCAGGTTTCCAAGAGACAAGCAGGACCCAAATGCTAGAATCAGTGGAAAGCAGTAGGAGACAGACTGTACTGCCATATTAATAAAACACAGATCATACCTGTACATAGTAACAAATTCAAACTATTCTACCACCTCCCCTGAGCACCATCTCCAGTACTTTAATACATACATCAAGTAGCAATGGTAACTGGGACAAAATACATTAGAAGGCTTCCTCCTCTCCCTTGCTGCCTCCCCTGCAGCTGCCCCCAACAAAGACACAACTAGTAGAAAGAGGAAAAAACACAAGCCTTGGAAAGATTCAGTGGTATAATAAACCACTTTGATAAACAGTCACAGAGGTAAAACATGGATATTGCTGTTGCTTAAAGTGGTGTTTTTACTATTTTAAATTGTCTACTTTAATTAGATGTCTGCAAATGTACTCTGATAAGTCAAAACACAAAGGAAGGCTGCAGAGAAGTAATAGCAAATGCAAGGAAGAAAGAAATTATGTTACCTTTCAAATACATTTACTTGCCTTCAAAACAAGCACTGCTTTCCCAGACAGCATGGATGAGAGCTTGATCCATCACTGGTTTGTGCAAACCAAAGAAACAGACTTTACATTTTACTGTTCAGTTCACATCAAGTTTTTCACCAACTTGATGTGATCAAACTCTACAGAATTTGCTTTTGAGAAACCTAAAATGTCTGTATTTATGAGGCATCTCTTAAGGCCAATGTTCCTATTGTTACACCTTCCTTACAGGAAGTAATCTGCAACAGGGTTTTGGAGGAATATCTGATCAGGTATATCAAAGTAATCAGGATCATTAGAATGGAATTGTGAGCTAAAAGTTATTTGCCTTGTTTGCCTGGCTGTGTCAATATTAAAATCTAAAGCCAAAGAAATCAGTCCAAAATTATCAGAGCTTTAAGAAGCTTTGTTTTTTTCCTAGCCTTTCTTTCTGCATTTAAGGATTATACAGCATGATCATCTTCAGCCTGAAGTCTTGAGCTATGATTTTTTACAGTAATAGTTCCTCTAGCATGCAATTAAAATGTGCAATAGACTATCTTTGGTCAGAAATGAGATTTTCAGAGTCCTTCACTTTGACCATGCCACAGGGATACAAGAAAGGAGCTTGCTACCTTCATTAGGTAATGTGTGCAAATAGGTCAAAACTAAACATGACAAAAAACAAACCACCACAAAGCAGAGGGGCAGTGAACTCTTTCAGTCTATGGACGGGCTTAGGCAAGAAGATCCTGTCAGGAACAAATACCTGCTGTATTTGTAGGAGAACATCCCAAATATTTGACAGGCTGTTTGACCAAATTGCTTATATAGTAATACACTGTGATTTTGTAGAGGCAAATTCCTCATCTATCAAGCTGCAACAACATTTGGCACTGGCCAGGAGCTAAGATCTGACTAATTAGAACTCTTTTTAGAGTTCACTCTTTGCTTCATTGTGTAACCAAACCATGCCATAACTGACATTTCTCATCAAACCCCCCCTCTCCTTTTGAGGTGTCAACAAACAAATCTCATCTTTGACATTCTACACAATTTCATTTCAGAGCTTCAGGTCAGTGCTGTTTGGATAAGCACCTGACACGTGTGAACAGAGAATAAGTGGATTTGCTGGACTTGCAAAGGGGGACCTGGAGCAGCAAGGGAAGATTACATGTGAAGACAACATCAGAGCAGCAACCAGACCCCAGGTCTGCAGCCTCAGCCCCCTCCATGTCATAGGTGGTCAGCTGCCTGTAGCCATACTGCAGAGCCATCCATGAACCTTCTCAATCCTACAGCAAAAACCTAGACACAGCATGGAGGAGACTTCAGTACTCCATACACCCACACTTGCATCGCATTTTCTGGCTGAATAGCCCCATTATACAAGCTTGCTTACACTGACTCTTTGATTTTTTAGAAGGAAAAATGATAACACTCTAAAAAGTGATAGTTAAGCTAACAAAATGCTGAATGCCTTTGCTCTGCAAAACATATTTGCAAGGCTATCCTTGCTACCAATCACTTATTACTTGGTGTCTCATTCCAAAAGCAAGCACTACTAAAGCTGCTATTCATTGCAAAGATCTTATTGTCAATGGTAGCAGTTGAGAAAAGGGAAGGAAGAAATTGTTCCTGCTTGGTGAATCCAGAGCATTCTGAAAAAAAAAGGTGGGTTTGTTTGGTAACTATGTAATCAGAGGCCAGAAAACATCCATAGGCAGCACTACACACCTCAAAATACAGCTGACACCTGCAATATTGCTTCTTTATGTCCCCCAACTCAAAAAGGAGTGAACATGGAGCATATTTTCATGCTATATTCAGTTTCCATACAATAACTCAGGTACATAGATGATATTCAAGCCTCGCCTTATTTATATAAATTGTCTCAGAAGACCTAAATAACAGAAAAACCATTTCAATCTGACAATTGCTGACAGGTTTTGTAAAACTACTATTGACTTGGTTCTTACTCATTTGTCATGATTATTGACACTGCTGAATAAGTCTTGATGACATTTTACCTTCCCACTAAAATTGTTTACTCAAGTAAGCATAAAAGTAGGCACTCAATGAGATTTATGTATTAAGGCAGGAGATTGGTTCATATTTATAATAATAGGTATGAGCTTCTCAAAAAACTAGGGTCCAGAAGTGACAACAGATTATTAATTTTAAACATAAAGCTCTCACTTCATAACTTCACCATCCCCTCGTTAAAATAACATCAGAAAACTCTCTCCATAGAAACAAGAGGAACTGGGCTATCCACTTGTAGCCAAGACACATAAGTTGTACGGGTAGGTCAACTAGAGCCAGACACTGGATTTGCAACACAGCAAAACACTGCTTCTTGTTCCACAGAAAGCAGGACATATCCTTTCAACAGCTAAAGCACAAAAGAAAATAGTGAGGGAAAGACAACACTATCCACCAAAAAAAACCCTCACTGGCCACTAGATCTCTAGAAACAAGAACTCGGATGATGACAGGATTTCAAAAGCAGGCAAAAATTCCAAAATCCCTGTCCCCACTCCTGTACCACACAGACTTGGCAAATCCCTCCAGCACAACAGCAGAGCAGCCTGCTCCACTGAGCACTGGGCCAAACTAGGCAATGACAAATAGAACAGACATCAGGTACTGCTGTGATTCTGCTTGCCACTAACTCTGCCTTCAAAATTCCTGAAATGCCAAGCCTCAGCTGGACTAACATTTTTCTTTGAGTATGAATGGTAAAACCAGAAGAATAGTGACAAATTTGGGGGCAAAAGCTAAGAATGAGTGGTGTCAGGCTCCATTGATTTTCTGGAATTCAAGCCCTGAAACTGGCATAACTGGCATCTTGCCCTGTGACAGTAAATTCCCATTAGAAAATATAAAACTGACGAAGAGAGACCTCACACAGAAGAGATGCAGCCAACAACTTTAAAGAGAATTGAACAGGCTGGGAACTAATGATACTTCTTTTATTTCACTTACAGTATCAAGAAGAGAATCTTATCAAGGAATTCTAAGAATAGCACAAGGCACAAATGTATCTGCCAGCCTAGCTAGGGCATGCAGATAAGTTGGAGGTACTCCAAAAGCAGACAGGACAGTCATAAGCACAAGAGATTTCTTCTTTCATTAATGAAAAGAAACTATTGTGCAGTTTCTACTGTACCAAGGCTGCAGAAGCCCAATTCCTAGCACTGTCAGTCAGGTCATTATGAAATATCAATGAAATCACATAGGCTTCAGCCCTGGATAACAAAGGCAATAGTCAGGGAATGCTTTAGAAAGAAATGATCTTTGAAAAGGGGCATTAAGATTCCGGATACAAAAGAGATCCCACCCCAACCGCCTTCCCTGCCATCAGATGCCAGCTTGAACTTGGCATTAACTCTTTGCTTCACTGCTTCAAGCACTGCCATACCATAGCACATAACTGAAAATAGGTGAAATATCTGTATGATTGCAGCAACTCAGTAAGTTGCACCGCTGCTGCTTTTTTAACCCTTTCCAAAAGAGGGGTGCTGAGGCAGTCTCACAGCCTGCTGCCCCCTGGCCATCAAGACATTGTCACTGACAGCCTGGTTGGAAATGTACAGACAGGTGATTCCACAGATGACATGGGCTCCCTGGGCTTTCCCACCATGGTGAAGTGGAAATCTGAGAAACTAGAACAGAGCTGTTCAAGAAAGCCCTTCAGACTATCTACTGCAGATGTGCCTAGCAATGAAGTTTACAGACAATTCTTCTGCTGCTCATTTATTGAAACAAATTTAGCAGAGCTCAAAGAAGTGGCAATAAACTCTCATTGGAAAGAGAAACATGCAAGCAGTACGCACAATACAAAAGAGGTGGTTAGACAATGCTATTACCACTGCTTGCTTACACAGCAAGTAGAACTATAGTATAGAGTGGAAGACACCTGGATGATTTTACCACAGCCATTAAACATGGCCATGACATCTCCTACAGCAGCAGAACTTGTGCCACAGTGCAGGGGACAGCCACACACCAGGATATATCCAGCCTGGGTACCTCTCAAGTAGTCAGCCCCAGTTCTAGTGCTCACAGGGTCAAACCAGGACAGGGAGCAGAAGTCTCTCCAGCAGCAGGATGAATCCTCAGCAGGATGAATTCAGCAGGATAAATTCTCAATGCTCAGCTCTCAGAAACACACACTAAGGATACTCCTTGTATCCTCACATTGTAGCCAGATATAAAAGCATTTACTAAATGTACAAATAGAGAAAAAAGCCATTTTCTGCCACAGTAAAGTGTCTCTTTCTTCATAT